TCTTTAGATGACCTTCTTGTTACCTACAAGTTACATCCTCATTTCTTGTCCCTGTCCAAATATCCTGATGTAAAGTTTAATATATATACTGGATAAGAAATCCAGTCTTCCTTGTCAAAGTGCGTTGAATGAACAGTTGATTTATGTATGCTTTGTATCTTAGTAAGGTTCTTTTGTTGAGGAGTCAGTTCATCGCTTCTCTATGACTCGGTTTGCTCCCTTACACACTGAATCTGAAGACTTTTTCCCATTTGTGTAAAGTAGCTGTTTATTATGGATCCCTTAGTACTACCTGTTTTTCTTGTGGTCTTCTGTACAGGTCTTTGCCACCTCATATAATTGTAGGGGTATTTCCATTCTGAAATCAGCCTGTAATGACATCTCAGAAAACAGCAGTTTTCACTTGACTTTACTGTAAATTTTTTTTTTTTTTACTCTTTCACCTTTTACAGCAGTGTCATCATTTTTTTTCAGTGCTAGCTTTAAAAGGAAGCATTTTTTTTTTTAAGTTCTTAAGCTAAAATTACTTTTTTATTTAAGTCTTTATATACTTGTTGTGAATGGCTTTCCTTAGTGTGACTGCCTCAGTAGATAGATTACTGTGCACTTCTGTAGCCCATGATAAGATCTTGGCAATTGCTGCTTCCTGTAGGAACAGAACTGTTAAAATGACAGTATATCATTATCTCTTAGTCTGAGCTACTCCAGAGTTTATGGTGTAATAAAATAGCGTGATCAAATTGAGGCCTGCTGCAAAGTTCTCTGGGAGCCTTTCTGTTGAATCTGAAGGCCTTTAGACTGAACATTTAGTTTCTCTTCTGGAAATACTGACATGCAAATCTATGCAACATTGCAGTGTGCTTGAATGACTGATGTCATGAACACCGCTTCATGTGATCTTACCTAATACTCACTTGAAGATTTTGGGGTATATCTTCTCTTTCTTAATCTCCCATTGGTGTCTGAACAGGATGGGGAAAGTATAGTCAAATGTGCTGTTGTGCTAAGAGTTTACGTATGGCAACTATAGTGTAGTGCAGAGTACCAGTGGCTGGTACCTACAAGTAGGAAAGTTTGCAGAAAATACTTATTGAGCAAAGGGGGAATTGACAGACCTAGGACTCCAGAGTAGTTATGGGTTAGGAGACTGAATTGAGGATAATTTTTTGAAGGCTGGGAGGAATAGGGAGGAAAGGGCTGTGGGCTGCAGAGTGAATCACTACTGTTAGGTTTCTGGCAGGGGGAAGGGACGAAGGGTCAGGCATTCTGATACAGAAGTCTTTGGGACAAGGGGCTAAGAGCCACCACAAGCACCTCTTCCTGATGAACATCTGTAGGACTCTGGAAAGTAAGGCTGTGTTTATGGGACTGATCCGTTTTGTCTGAACAGCACAGCCATCTGCCCTTGCATTCTGTGTCCTTTCTTTGTGGCAGGAAATGTGATGCTGTCAGGCCAAGTGGAACCCATTCATGCAACTGAGAGCAACCTTCTCCTGTAAAGCACTAAAGAACTTCTTATTCCAGTCACTACTGCAAATTAACAGCGACGAGAACTTTCCATTTGAAGAAGAGCACTTCAGCAGACTTCCTCTTTCCACCCCTGAAGTTTTTTGGGGTATTTGCACAGGATACAGGACTTAAAACCAGGAGATGAGTGGCATGGAATGACTCATGCTCAAAACCAGAAGCATTTGACTTTGGAAAACTGACTTCAGTTCTAGCCCTTCCTCTTTAAAGTTTTATATTGCATGACCTTTTAAATGAAATGTTGAGCTTCCTTTTTAAATGACAGGATCTCTGCAGTGTGACTATGAGTGTGATTCAAGAAGGTGTTTCATAACTTTATCAATCCCTGTGTCCATCCACTAACTTCAGTTCTCGTGACATCACTGGCTTCAAGTTCCTCATAGCATAATAATTACATGAATGAGTCTGCTTTCTCCAACATGGAGATCCTGTAGTACTATTATTGACATATTCTGAAACCGCCCTAAACACCAGTGAGCATCAGTAGTTGCGTGACTCCTGCAGTTAACCAATAACAGAAGTTTTTGAGGAATGTACAAGAAAGCCTATAACATGGCCATTTTCTGTAGCTTGTCGCTAGATTGTTTCCCTCCAATAATTTCCTCTGTTGAAGGCCATCTAATTTCCACTAAAGTCAGCTTCGTGTCCTGGAAGTGATCTTAGATTTTTTTTTTTTTTTTTTTTGGGTCACTTTAAATGTTCTAGCGACTGCTATAGCCCCCCAAAAAACCACCAACCAAAACCCCAAACCACTTTTATCCCATATTGCTGAGAAGAGTATGCCCCATCTTTTCAGGCATGGATTTGACCACTGAGGTCCAGGCATGCATGCCCTCCAGGATTTTCTGTTTTATTGGTGTTCATTATGTTCAGAAATGCTACATGCTACTTAGATTTTCATACGAGGCAGCAGCTTGCCTGTTGCCATATCTAGGTCCCTCATTTTATTACCAACCCACCCCATTTTTTTTCCTGTTTGTTGAAACGTGCTTCAGAAATATATTACGCTTTTTAAATTGTCTGTTTCTGGAAGGTACACAGGTAACTTCTTTCTTTCCATTTTCTCTATGTGTATTGGAATTATGCATCTCGTAGAACTCCCTTATTCTTTCAGTACCTTTAGGCATCACAGCATCTTTAAAAAGATCTAATATTTGGTAGCGAGGTAATAGCCAGCTCTCTATTCCCTGAACAATAAATTACCAGTTTCAGATCCTTAAATATGTGATGTTGGTATTTGAGTCTGTGGAACTCTCTGAGTCTGGGAGTAGTGTGTATGTGCACATACGCATGTATGCTTAAGTATAATATTTTTATATTAGAATGCCTTTGTATCATTCCATTTCTGTAATGAAGCATTTCATCCGTTTCCTTTTTTAAAAGAGGGGACAGTTCTTTTCAAATTTGTTAATGCCATGAAAGGAAACAGTGTAGATTAATGCTGCTGCTAATTTAACCCAATATTTACAGCAAAAATGCCTAAGGGTCTTTTGGTTTGCTTTGCATTTTGCTGTGTTTTTTGTTTGGTTGTTTGTTTTTTTTTTTTTTCCTTTTTAATATGAATCCTAGGTGGTGGGGTGGTTGTGTTGGTTTGGGGGGGGTTGTTTGTTTGTTTGTTTTTTGACACTTAAAAAAAAATAACATATGTAGGCTCTGTGAGAAATGTGGTTAGAGATCTAGAAAACCATTTTTCATAGTTCCCTGGTTTTGTGTCTTGTTAATCCTGTACGGTCAGTACAGAAGAAAAATAAACCCCTGCAAAATACAAAGTCACCAACCTAGTGTCAGAGACGAATTTATGAAAACATCCATTTTAGCTGCCTCATGTTTGAGATATTAGACTGTGGCAGTCAAGATCATATTCTCCAGACTGCATTCTTCATAAGCAGAAATACTGGCAGCCATGTGTTAAGTTATAAAAAGATAGCAGCTGATGTCAGGGCTTATTTCAGTGAGGAGCCATTTCAGAATACTGTACTAATTTTGAGCAGGTATATGTAAAATAGAACTCTTCCCTTGACATGTAGCATTCCGTGTAAATTGATACATATCTGAATAATGGGGTAGAAAAAGATGAACAAGTAATAAGCTGCAGTAGATAGCCCACTTAAAAAAAAAAAATCTTCAGTATTGTACATGATTCTTTATGCAAAACTGAGAGGAACAGAAAAACAGTTCAGTTTGGCCTGCATTTTAGGGATTAGATTTTTGAGCTGGTATAAAATCCTCCTGCTCTGATGTTGGAAAGCTACCACACTTTGAACCAGAGCCTGAGCTAATTGGAAACTATTAATAGAGAAGTACCCAGCCTTTCTGTGCAAGTGATCTATATATCACAAGCAGCCCTCCAAATGCACTAACTTTATGTGCGCAGAAACCTGTTCTCTGGTCACACTGGATGTGGATCAACACCATGCTCAAATATATCTGTATCTGGACAGATAACTTTATTAATATTAAACTCTGCTTCATTTGGTTGACTATATTTAACAAAATTAATTTAATCCAATGAAAGGGAATGAATTTAGCTCAATAATTTGTTTTTAATGATGATTTTTTTAGTGGCCTCTGGGCTAGGTTCATTTGTTCCTTTCATGTGTGTGCACAATGTCTGTCTTAGGATTTCTTGAACTTAATTATGTTATTGAAATATCAGTTCTGCAGTAAATCCATTCCTTCGGTTTTCATTAATTTCAGTTAAATCTAACAGTTTCACCCGGAAGTTCCTAGTACTATAATTTTTAAGAATTGCATATTTACGCAGTATTTATTTACAATGTGAAGTTCTGTTTCTACAAATTGAGACTAATGTCCAAGGACAGCAGAATTCTTCTTATTATAACTTTTGCAATTGTCTCAGATAGCTGAGCTATTCTATGCATCTGAATAAAACTGAAAGAAACCCTAATTATATGCTTGAGATGATATATATGTTTTAGTTGAGCATGTGGATTGGATACAAATAACTTTTGCCATTTGCAGCTTTATGACACTTTGCTGATAACTCAAGGTAAAGATGTAAGTGATCTTAGACAAGTCACCACTCCACGTGTGTGATGCCAAGGGGGGTAGACAAGTTTTTTTTTCTATCACAATGAACGTTTTCTAATTGCTGCTGAGTCAGAAGTACAATTGATAGCTTCACTGATAGTGGAAACAATTGTTTAAACCAGTTTATATGAAAGTGCTTTGGGGCAGAGACCCTGCTCCATCAAGAGTGTAAAGGCATAATGTCTGGTAAATGTTCTGCTACTTTGTTAAAATACTATCAGCTTGCATAATACACAAATAATGTTAGTGTTGTATTCTGATAAATTTAAACTCAGCCCAAAGTGCTTTCTGTCCAGAACTCCCACATGTGAAGATGTGAAGTCAAATGGGTATTTGTCTTAAAATAACTATTAGTATGATGATATTAGATGGATTCATCTCTAAGACTTCTTTTTTGTTTTGTTTTTTTTGTTTTGTTTCAGGACATCAGGCATGAAGCCAGTGATTTTCCATGTAAAGTGGCCAAACATCCCAGAAACAAAAATAGAAATAGGTACAGAGATGTCAGCCCCTGTAAGTACACTTTCTTTTCCATTGTTTGTAACAGACTGTTGACCTCTAATGACTTCTTCTAACAGCTAAACGTTCTTTGTAAGAACAAGATTTCTGTTAGATGGATATGCATCCAAGACAATTCTTTTTGTTAACATACTTATTTACGCGATAGATGTCACAGGATGCCGTTATATCCATAGGATTGTGATAGAGCAGCATACAGTAGATTCTGTATTTGTCGGCAGAAATCTGAAGAAAGGAACTTGATTTACCTTTGAATTCTTATGCTAGAGAAGAAGGATGGCTGAAGTAGCATTAATAAAATTGCAAGTATCCTTTCTATTGCTGTATACTTACTAGAGCATCCTTCTAGTCAATATTCTAGTCAACTGCCCCTATTGGGAGATGGGGAAGTCTTGCATAAAACATATGACTACTAGAAATAAATCTAAGCTAATTGGAACAGAGAAAAGGGGACGTTTGCAAAGGTGGTAGTACTAGTGTGAGACCTGTGTTTCTGAAATGATTATCATTATGTATTCTGGTGAATTCTGGTGGGAAGTGCGTCTTTGAGCATGTGTCCTCTGTACAAGGCACAGCTCGGTTTGGTGTTGCAGCCTGTCTTTCCTTCCACGACCCCATCTACAAAGACAGTAACATTCAGACTTGCCTATGCCTGGCATGCTGTACTTCTGGGGTGTGCAGAGAAGTACAGGACCATAGTCAAATGGTTGGCAAATAATACTTGATGTATGGGACACTAAAGAAAGTCCACAGGTGGTTCACTGAACTGCCATCTCTGCACTAAATGACAGCGACTGTTCTGGGACTTCTTTCCCTCTTCAAGGGTGCAGTACTGCTGCCTGTTTTAAATGCAAAGTTTCTATAGGCTCTGTCACTATGCAAATGTCTATCTTCTGCTCAAAGACGAGTATTATTGTATGTTGGAAAAATTTTATACTTAGTAGTTAAAAGTTACTGAAGTCTTTGGGGCAATCGACTAGGAACAATAACGTTGCACATAGTTTGCTTTACTAAGCAGTTCTAATATTTGGGGTTGTGAGTAACAAATAGTTCCTTTTTGCCTTTAGATAATACTGCTTCCAGTCTCTTTTGCTTTTTTGCAAAATGTGGGAACTCTTGTATGTGATTTTCTGTTGGTGGTTTGTTTTTTTAAGCCTAAGTGGAGCAAGCTGAGACTAACAAAAGAGCAATGAAATTACATTTGCTGTAATTCTTGAATTTTGCTCATTCTTTCTGTACATTAAGGTGCAATTGGGTTGGGAACAGTAGCTAAATGTGTATAAGAAGTCTCTGTTCTCTTTGTCCAATATGTTTAGGCAAACCTTTAACAACCTTGAACAAACTGGGTTTGAATGTTTAAGATGCAAAAGATAAGCAGTTGTGTAATTAGATGTATTTAAAAACAGTAACTCAAAAACCGTACAAATAGGTCAGTGTGATCTGGTTTGCAAATTACTATTGTGATTACTTCAGATGCAAATACTTCCATTCTTGCAATGTATTCTTGGAAGATGGAGTGCAACTTATGTTCAGTGCTCTGATGTAGTGCTGTTCTTGTAGTACCTATATTGTATTTCCAGAGTTACAAGCAGCAGTGAACACTTGAGAAAGCTCTTTTCATTCTGGACGACTCAGCTTTTTTGATCCTAACATCTGATGAGGTTGTGCATGGATTGTGCTGTGTTGCATATATATTAACCGGTGTTTTCTAATTATGCTGCAGTTGATCACAGTCGAATTAAGCTAAACCAAGGTGACAATGACTATATCAATGCTAGTTTGATAAAAATGGAAGAGGCCCAAAGGAGCTACATCCTTACCCAGGTAATTGCTGTCAGTGGATAATAAAAATCATATGATGATTGGAGTTTTTCATAGGTTTTCTTTAGCCTATTATGTTTGTTTTCTTTATTGTAAAGCTAGTTAAGTGTGTATAAACATGTGTATATGTAAACATATACATAGTTTGTAAAGCTAGTTAAGTGTGTATAAACATATGTGTATATATAGACATAGACATAGAACAATTTTATAGAAATGCTACATATTTCTTCCTGCTTCCTGTCAGCACTGACTGACTTTTTGTGGAGTATTTTGGCCACTTCGTATATGTGACTTTAGACCCATCTAGGTTAGAAGCTAACATACTTCTAGAAATCTGCTTGTTGGCTTTTGACAAGCAACATTTAGACGTGGTTGAAATGAATCACACTTCTAGATGGAAGGCCAGCACAAAGGCTTGAGACCACTACAGTCTTAAGTTGCCTGATAAATTCTCTGAACAGAGGTGGACCTCGCTTAATGGGAAGGCCTCACATTTACAGAACTATATGCATGAACTTCAAGACGTTCAAAACCTGTTTGAAATAACAGACTTTAAATATAACGGGTGTTTATGTGTTGAGTGGGGCAGACGTTAACTAAAACGTATTAGGGAATTTCTTACACCTGACCTTCTGTTTCAAATAAGGAGTATGCTCCACCACGTATTTCTTCTTAAACGGCCTTCTGAAAGTGATGTTATTGTAGTATTTACAAATAATGTACCTCCTAATAAGACGGCTTGCAAAAGGTCTAAGTTGGGCAATGCTGATGCTTCTACCTTTAATGTGAGAGAGGAAAGCTATGAATACAGACTTTATTGATGGGAATATGGGGGGCAGGAGGGAAGTGGCTGTTTTTCACCGAATCTGTGAATTCCACACCTATCTATATAACAAATTTAAAAATACCCGGATACCCTGTTGTCTTATTCTGAGAGCTAGCAACTGTGCCAGAATTCTTGTTTGTTCTAAATATTTGGTGCCCTGGAGACTCTCCTGGTCTCTAATCTTGACTTTTTTTTTTTTTTACCCCTTCCTCCCACACTTTAGATAAAGGTAGAGTGGAATTAATATTTTCAAGCGGCAGCTCTTCCTTCCTGTTTCTAGAGAATAAAGATAAATCTTCTAAGGAAGAAGTGGACAGTACAGTGTTCAATATGAAAATGATTCTGTGTACACAGCTCTTATTCCACTTACCCACAACAGGGGAAGTTCATCATAGGGTCGAACTGATAGGCCTGTATGTGGAATAGTCAAATGTGCAGCTAACTGGTACTAGTTCACAAATTCTGATCCAGAATTTAACGGATTTGAATGGCTTTATTTAAATCCAGTCATTCTTTGAGGACCCTGGCCTGCTGTTTTGTTTGAGCAAAGTGATGGATAGCAAATATGAGAGCCACCAGATGCTGGTTTGTGTTGTCCAAAATTCAGAGCAATGGTTTTGGAGTAGAAAATAGCAAAGGAACATATCACAAACAAAAAGTTATAAGGAAGTCTACTTTGTGAGTAGATAGTAGTCTTTAAAAGGAATTATCATTTTGTTCAGTCCCAAAGCAAATCCGTGAAGATTCTGGAAAACCATATAATTTGTTACTGATCTGGCGTTGTTTCAGTCTTTTGAATGTTTGTCCATTCAGTCTAGTAATTTTCAAGTATTATGAATAACAATGATGTATTGCAGAATAGTTCAACATAGACGTTAATTCTGCTCTTAGTTAGTCAATGAGGTTTTATTTCCCCATTATATGTATACCTTTCCTAAGACAATTCTCAGCATTTTTCACTCCCAGTTCTGTTCTCACAAATGAGACTACTTCTCTCTTCCTGTTATATATGGGGGGCAAAGATTAACCATGCTTTAATGGGTAAACTCATAGTGGGGAAAATGGAACTTAAAGCTGTATCACTGCATTTTTTTACAGTTTGAAATGAGAAGTTGCTTGTTACTTGTCTAAATTTATTGCCTAGTGCAGTAACTTTTTACTGGGAAACGTTGCACTGACATTAACAGAAAATAATGCTTATTTCTGGGGATTCTGTCTCTGCAGGGACCTTTGCCAAATACTTGTGGTCACTTTTGGGAGATGGTTTGGGAACAGAAAAGCCGTGGTGTTGTCATGTTGAACAGAGTGATGGAAAAGGGATCCGTAAGTACTTACCCGGTTCTAGCTATGTGTTCATTGCACGTTTATGTTTTTTTTTTTAAAAAAAAAAAAAAACAAACCACAACCAAAAACAAACCAACCAAAAAAACCCCACCAAAAAACAAAAACCAACCCAAAGAACGGGGAGGGGGTGGAGAGATGATGACCATCAGTAATTTTATCTAAGAAATTATGCCTAGAATTGAATACCCAGTGAACCAATCTTAGTGCGGTCAGACAATTATTCAGTTTGTAATTGTAGGTCTTAATTTCTTCTGATTTGGCTGAAATAAGGCATGAACACAATATGACTCTCCACACAAATCTGAATGTAGCTCTTCTCAGTGTGCACAGATTGCACCTCTCAAAGGTCAGTTACACCAGGTGTTCACTCACAGGCATTATGAAATGGTTTTGAAGTAGTTATAAAGGCACTTTGACTCCAAGCTTCCTTCATGCAACAAGAGCTCTGATTATTAAATGTATCATCTAGGCATATTGTTGCTCCACCAGTGTCATTGTTTTACAAAAGACATTAGAGGTATGAGGAGAATGGGGGTACAATTGAAAGTACTTCTCCTGGTATCTACCTTAAGCAATAATCTTCTGGGTGATGTGGAACCGGCTGTTAAGCCAGTGCTTTACTTGCTAGGACAAGTGCAGCGAGCAAAGTTCTGTCCAGACCTTTTAGGAAGTTTACATTAGACAAGACAGGCAGAAGATGAAGGTAAACAATAGATGAACAAACAATTGGGGTTATTTTAAGTAATTTACCTTCAGGTAGATAAAAAGTTTTGGTTCCTCAGGCACATGGAGTAGCTGCTGTCTTGAGAAGGAAATGCCTCAGCCTTTCTGATGGTGGAGAAGACAGGAACCATCAGGCATGGTTTTCATCCATGGGTCAGAGTTCTGCCTCTATGCTAATTCCACAGCTGCCATCCTTAAAGTGGACTTGGCAGCTGTGCAAATTTGAGACAAAAGCAATTTTAAAGACTGATAGAAATGCACAATTTAAAGTTGAATGTTACAGTGTAGTCAGTATAAAGACACTTTGGAGGAGGGGTAGCGGGTATGTTGGGTATCTACCAGTGACAACTGGGTGGTACATGCTTTTGCATAATCAGGAAAGAATTCCCAATAATCAGGAAAATTCTTGTGCAATGAGTTGTGTTTTAATAAACTGTAATCTTGATTTTTGAGTGTTTTGCTTTTTTTGTAGTACAAGTGAAATCTAATCTTCAAAAGAGATGCAATAACCATATTTTTCAATAGTTTCTTCCTTTCCAACCATTCCCACTCATTCTCTGCACTGCCAATAGTTTTGGACAAAATGCATTATTGTGATCCCTTAGGGCAGGCTGCTTATACTCCTCAGTAAACAGCAGTGGGGGACCTACAGCGGAGCACAACAAAATATTGTTTGCAGACACATTTGGTGGAGAAATTAGACACAAAGGCAGTTGCTGTCTTTTTAACGTTAATACAAAAAAAAAAAAGTGCAGAGAATTATAACTGCATTCTACACCCCGATAAACTAGAGGATGTATTTTGAATAAAAACTAGAATTAGATGAGCAAAACTAGTGTTAGTCTACCTATGAATAAAATACTGAAGGGTTTTCTTATTTATTAAAAGGCTGTCAGAAATCATCTTAGTCTTGAGAATGCTGTTCTTTTTTCATCGTTGTTCCACTTCAACTTTAAAGCCAATTATTTGCCCTTTAATAAAAGAGGCATTAGCCATGTCCAGCAATCCATTCTTATTCTGTGTTTAAGTATGGGCAAATGGTGGTCATAATCCCATTTCAGAGGAGCAGTGCTTAGTGGCAGAAGTAGCAGGCCAGTTCTGCCAGTCACAATATCCTTAGATTTAACTGTCAGAAACTTGGTTGCAAACTTTCCTATTCGTGTTGCTGATGAGTTTCTTCAGTTTCCGTTTTTTCCTGCACACTGCAAAATGTGCTACTTTTCTATTTGATTGACTCGTTTAAGGTCCTAGCATGTAGCAGTCTTTGCAAAACTAAGCTCTCTGGGAAACTTTACTGAGGAAATTGGAATTCAGTCAGAAGTAGGTAATGGGAATGTTTGCTGGATGCAGTATTTCTTTTGTTTGGCACTTTACTTGTAAACTGTGCCATGTAAAATCGAAATGATCTCACTGCTATTTTTATTTTTGTGGTGAGTGAATGGAGTAACCCAAAATCTCATCTGATGTTACACTTGCAAATTAGCAATGTTGTAACTCTTTATATGTAGCTTATTCGTGGAATTCATAATACTTTTTCACAGTCTGTTCTGCTCTTGTTAACATCTGTCTCTTCTTTTGAAATTTGAATATTTGACATGAGGATAATAAATAAAATGCAGAGTAGACTAAAATTGAGATTTTGGCAGGGTGTTGTGAGAGCTTTTATACTTAGACAGTTACTAGATTTTTTTGTTTGTTTGTTCTGCCACAAGCTAAAATAAATAATGGCTTTGGTGATTTTGAGTAGATTCCATAGCTTCACACTCTTTCAGCTTACATGTAGAAGAAAGAGAGGTCTACCTAAACAAACCTATCCTCAATCCTTAGGTATTTTCATGAGTTCAGTCAGGGTCAAAATAATTTGACTCATACAAAAGATTCAGTGAAGATGTGGTTCTGCAACATAAAGGAAGGCTGATACTCTTCACGCTAGAATTGGTCTTCCTTTTAATAAAAGCAGATGAAGAAATTGTCTCATAAGAAAATGTTGTATTCAAGGATGTTTATTCCTTGCTTTTTACACAAACATAAATGACATATAAATGTCTCCTATTTGTTTTTAGATAAAGTGTGCACAGTACTGGCCACGGAAGGAGGAGAAAGAAATGTTTTTTGAAGATACAAACTTGAAACTAACATTGATATCTGAAGATATAAAATCATATTACACAGTACGACAGCTAGAATTGGAAAACCTTACAGTAAGTACAGAAACTAGTACCAATCAGATTCTTCAATCTCTGAGGTGAGATTCGCCTCCTCGTCAACAAGGTCTTGAAAAAGATGGTCACGAATTGTAGCAGATTTTTTTCTGGAATTGGTGATTCTGCATGAGATTGTTCTTCGGCCTCTAGTTTGTATTGTGGAAATGAAACTCTTAAATATTTACGAAACATATCTGGGGAAACTACAGTCTTGGCCGTACACTGAGTGAGAAGATTAGTTTGTCACTACGCTACCTTTCAGAGAACCCTTTATAAAATCACTTAGCAGATGTTCTAGTGCTTTTGTGTTATAGCTGAAATAATTGCTCTTCCTGTCACTTAAGCTACCTGTTTGCCTGTGTCTTGTTCTAAGGTTTATTTTTAGGTTTTGGCTTAAATCTTCAGGTTTTGCATTGATGGCCTTCATCAGAAAGCAGGAACTGTTTTAGCCCTGGTCCTGCAATGAGCTGTATGGAGCTCGGTACAAGGATCAGGCCACTAGCTTTAAGAGAAGTAACTTTTTTTTTTTTTCTCTTTGTTGGTGTTTTTTTTTTCCTTTTGCACAATACCAAAATGAAAGTATACGTGACGTTTCCCACCCTTCTTCTCCTCTTCAACACTGCCCTGTATTAGAGCAGTGAGAGCTAATCTAAAGCTCCTCGGGGAGTCTGGCTAAGGAAGAACACCATTAACTTACACTGAATGCAGGTCACTGAAGATAATGTCTGAGGTCCTCGATGGTGCTGAGCTAGGTGTGTATGTTGTGACGTGCTAGCCTGAGTTCTGTTCTGTCTTGGTACTGCTCATTACTGGACGACACAGTTACTCCTTTGCTCATCTGTTAGCATCTTGCATGCTTCATCCTGCCAGGAAAGGTGAGACAGCAGATACGAATTTGACTAAATTACTCCTGAGTAAGAATTTAGTTGATGTAGTTTGTGGTGTGTATTGACTATGACGTCTGCCGTAGACATGTTTGATGGTTGTAGCTCAGTATTCTAGGAGGATGTGAGCACCAGTGGTTTAGCAGTCTTGGAAGAAAGTGTTCAGGTTGGGAACAAACCTGTAAAGGAACAGCTGTGATAGCGTAGGGCTTTGTCTGCAGAAAGGGCTTCTATAACTTGAGGTACTTCATTTTGAGAAATCTTCAAATGATATTTTGTCTTTAGAGATTGGAAGGCAGTAGTGCCAGCTATCTTGTGGCGATACAAGCATTTGAACTGTACTGAAAAAACTAAATGTTATAAATAAGTAAATTTACTTATCCAATTTCCTTTGCTCAAAATGGAGACCTTCACAACAAGAGAGAATTATTTGTAATTATTTTATTAGCCGTGCAGCTATAAAAGCTCCCTCAGACTGGTGGAACTTTGTCATTTGAATTTAAGTCAGCTGTTCTAAAGATATAGTGGAAGCAGTGTAGTCTGAGTAGCATACAGAGCTGAGCAGGCACATGCCTCCATTCCGTGTAAGTCAGAGTTGTTTTCAAAGGAAGTAGCTAAAATTTTTCCAAGTACAACTTTGAAATTGGCTTAGAGGTAAAAATGTCTAATGCCTAAAGCTGTGTGTCTAAATATATAAGTGGCTATTTGCTAGGAAAATGAATGAGGAATTGTATTTGCTGATTAGAACATTGTTATAGGCAACTGCTTTGAATACTTCTGACTCGTGTGTCCAAGCTGAAAGACTTCCTAAATACTGTTTTTACAGACACAGGAAACTAGAGAGATTCTGCACTTTCATTATACTACGTGGCCTGACTTTGGCGTCCCAGAGTCACCTGCTTCATTCCTCAATTTCCTGTTCAAAGTGAGAGAGTCTGGCTCGCTTAACCCTGAGCATGGACCCGTTGTGGTGCACTGCAGCGCAGGAATCGGGAGATCGGGAACTTTTTGTTTGGTTGATACGTGTCTTCTACTGGTAAGAACTACTTATTCCAGATGATATGCTATTTCTGTAGAGTTATTTTGAGGAATGGTTTGTCGTAGGCTTGCAAAGAGCTGTGGTATGTTCCGTGAAGTATTGTTGGATGCTATTTCCCATTATCTTACTCATATTCTGGTTTGGGAGTGTATTCCAAGGCAGATCTCGTTCTTAACTGGCCATTTGGAGTCTGGGGAAGAAAAGTCTCTAGTTTTTAGTGTGATTTGCAAAGATAGGCTTTGCCCTTGTGGTTAAGAAAAAGAACACTAGATGTGTGCTAAGTAAGAGCGTGAACTATCCTGAAACAATGCAAAATAAATCAAATGTGTTTCCTTTTACAGAGTCAACTTCGCCTGTAGGCAGGGGGAAATTGTCCTGACTTTAAAATAAAACCGGAGTTCCCTTGGCTTTATTCTGTCACTGTGTGAGGGCAGCTAATACATAGAAGTCAGGCCTAGGTTAAAATGTCCTCCCCCCCCCCAATTACATTTTCAAAACAAGAAAGACAAAAAAGGGAAAAACATACAATGTGTTGGAGGCCCAGCGTGTTTTCCCCTCTCTGTCTTTTTAGACACCCAATAAATAGCTGTTGATACCAGTTTTTTATTAGTTTATTAATTCTGTAATATGGAGGGTAGTCTGAAGGCCATACTACAAAATGAGTCATTGTATTGAATCTCATCAGAGCATAAAGCATGTTTCAAATTTTTATCTTCAGATGGACAAACGGAAAGATCCTTCTTCTGTGGACGTTAAACAGGTTCTCCTAGAAATGAGGAAGTACAGAATGGGACTTATACAGACAGCAGATCAGCTCCGTTTCTCCTACTTAGCTGTTATCGAAGGGGCAAAATTCATTATGGGAGATGCTTCGGTGCAAGTGAGTATTACTGACTGCACAGCCTAATGTAGTGAGCTGCAACTCTGTTTTAACTGTAGCAGATATGTGGGATGAACAGAGTAGAAGGAAATGTTGTATTTCATTCTTGCTTTGGCTTCAATACATTTTTATATTATGGGGTTCTTAAATACAATGCTTTATGATCTGTCACGACCTAAAGTAGTGTATTTAAGAACCTTCAGAAAAGTACCTGTGATATAACAGGTGGCCTTGTGTACTTTTCAACACTGTAATTTGGGTGTAGACTGGTTGCGTTGGCCTTGTCTTTCATTTCAGGTAATAAAAATTTTCTAATATGCCAGAAGTTTTAAGTATGATTAAATCCTATGAGTTTGTTTTATGGTAAGCAGAACTTTAGCAACACAGATTCTATTTTGTACTACTTATATTTTCCAGAAGTAGATGAAAATTTCCTGCATTTATAGCGGGTGTCTTCTGTGTACTGGATGTAGCTTAGGTTTGGAGTTCTTGTGTCTCTTTCTTTGTTTTTCCTTCCTTTTTCTTTGTTTTTTCTTTTCCTTTTTCTTTGTTTTTTCTTTTCCTTTTTCTTTGTTTTTTCTTTTCCTTTTTCTTTGTTTTTTCTTTTCCTTTTTCTTTGTTTTTTCTTTTCCTTTTTCTTTGTTTTTTCTTTTCCTTTTTCTTTGTTTTTTCTTTTCCTTTTTCTTTGTTTTTTTTTCTTTTCTCCTTTTTCCGACGCAAATGAACAGCCACTCTAAGAATAAATGAAAAGGTAGAGTATAAAGACCTTGACATGTTAAAGTTAAAAGTTATAGCAGCTTACATAAAAGAAATAGAGAAAACCTTAACAGGGCTTTTCCTTCCTGAAGGAACAGTGGAAAGAGCTCTCCAATGAAGACCTGGACCCTCCACCTGAACATACCCCACCACCTCCCAGACCACCAAAGCGAACCTCAGAAATGCACAATGGAAGGATGCATGAACACACAGAATTCTTTCCTAAACATCAAGCAGTAGAGGAAGAGATTAGATGTCCAGTCAGCACTGTGGAAGAGATGGTTCCAGATGGCAGAGCTCATTCATCTGTACCACTGATCACAGACAGGTAATTCATTTAGTTTCCCACTTTTAACTGTCCCAGGAAGACTGTCTGGTTGGCTTACAGTGTCGAGAGGTTGTAGGACATTTGCTCATAAATGGCGTTTCATACAGAAGGTCCTGAACAGACCTTGATCGAGTTAGTGTAATAGTAGTTCCAACCCAAAATCTTTTCAGTAAAGGTCTTATGCTCATGTTCTTTTAACTTCACGCGTAAGCTAGGGCCTCTTACGGGATCCTGCTAGAGTAAAAGAAGAAGTGACAGCCTCATGAGGTGGTTTAGTCTTGATTTACATGCAGTATATGTTAAGTTACAGAGGAGCTCTTTCACTACTTAGAGGCAGCATTAGTCATGTAGCTGAAAACTAGGCTGACTAGCTTTAGCCACACTTAGAAATGTGAAATTAATGGCAAGCAAAGCTACTTTTGATGAAAGGAGTAGAGGGGGCTCATGAACAGAGAACTTTTCTACCTGTCATTGTAACCTAAATTGTAGAGACTAATAAATGTGCAGAAATGCTGTGTTCACGAGGGGTAGAACAGTGGAGAAGCCAAGGTTCCTGCCTGCTTAACCGCTAGATGTCACTCCTGATTTATCAGAGTGGCATGGAACTGGTTGAAATCTGCATGCCTTGGTATTGCTGGCATCCTGCGTGTTAACTCATTTTGTTCAGAACAACCAAATGAATGCCACGCAGAACAAAAAAATAATCAAAATTAAAAAATAAAAATAAAACCCCCAAAGTTTAATGTTCCCCCACTAGATGGTCTCCTAACAAGACATCTTCGGCTTCCCACAGGAATACTGGAATAAAATACCAAGATTTAGTATTGTCCACAGAACTCGAGAGCCTTTTCAACAGATGCAGCTGGCAGGCTTGATGTATTTAATTTAGCTGAACCAATGGGGGAGTGTGTGACTCTGGGAACTGGAGATAAGCGAGATGTGTTTCCAGTAGTCTTTCTTCAGAATAAACCTCCTCTTAATTTCACATAGCAGAGAGGCTGAGACCATGAGCTGAACCTGTTGTCTCCCTCCAAATTCTGCTGAAGGCAAGGAGATAAAACAGAACTGTTTCCCTGCTCGACATGAAACAATGTTTTGATCAGGATTTTTCTTAATTCATCGGGGGGATTCTGGAAGTCAAATACTCGAATTCCAAACATCTTTACTAAAAAGAAAGGAAATCTTGGAAATAGGAGCAGACACAAATGGAAGCTGAGCGACAAAAGAAGGAAATGTTGCAGTGGTAGCACCTCCCTCTTTCTTCCCTCCGTGACAATATGGTTCTGTAACCAGAATATTTGCCTGGGACGTGAGATGCCAGCTAATGCTTTTCACGCCTAATGAAGAGTATGGATTTAAAGCTGGTGCCTTGTGTCTTCTCATTAGCTATATAAATCTGAATTTCTCAGTGAATAAATGATTTCCTGGAAATACTTTACACAGTGTAGTTTAAATGAACATGAGGCATGTCCAGCTCTAAAGAGCTCGGAGACTCAATTAATTTCATTTTATTATAGTCCCTTGTCTGAGGTTGGAGTTGAGTCATCCCCTAGAGCTGCCTGCCTTCATTGATTGTAGAGGCTGACTAGACATCTACCTTATACCTTTGTGATCATCACTCTTGTCCTCATGTCTGGGACAGTGAGTCTAGAAGGGGGGAAAGTGAAACTTGCTAGGCAGGAGGGGGAAGGAATAGAGAGTAGAGGAGCAGTCTGATGGATGTGGGATGTGTGAGGCTGGAGGAAACAGAGGGGTGGGAAATAGACGATGTGCTGGCAGAGGTGAGGGAAAAAGAAGCAGAAGTCTTAAGCATGTTTATTTTCCTGCCCAGATATTCTAATGTCTGGGTGGAAGATTCCCGAGTTCTTCTATACTTAAGCTGTCAGCAGATGTCTAGGAAATCCCCCTGCAAAGCATCTCCCTGCTGGCTACCACCCCACTGGTTCTCACAGCATGACGATGCTCTGCTTTCTAAATTCAGCTGGAAGTTGTACAGTAGATATAAAAGTTCCTGCTCAGTTAAGAAGCCTCTTTGGGGGTCAATATACTGCCAATGGGAGTTGGGAGGTTTAGTGTCTAGAAGCAAAACCATGTTTAGAGAGTATTAAAGGTGAAGAGCTCTTCAGTTCCAGCATTAAAAGCTGTTGCAATGCATTTGGCTACTCTAAGTTATGGCTGCACAAGCAACCACAGTTCCATCATTTTCTGACTTTTTGGGCGGGTGCTTGATTTTAGAACCTTTAATGTTCTCCTGACCTGGACGTGGGTTTGATTTGTGCTAGTTCACTACTTCTCCCGGTGCAGGTAGCAGATTTGTGATAAGCGATGGGAGTACGTGGTGTTTAAAACTAAGTCAGCTTATTCTTTAAAGGGCACAAAATACTCCCAAGCGTGGCTTTTGATGACGAGCACTGTTCTAAACCTGTAATTTAATAGCCAGAACTGTAATAATTAGCGATAGGCTTTGGTTCGTCATCTGCTGCAGCTCCTGAGAGCAAGAGATTCCCAGCTTTGTCTGTGGTGGTCAGTGGGTGAGGCCGTGCTCCCGTTGAGTCTGCACGGCTTCCCTCCTAAATGGAGAATCCAGTACTGAGTATTTCTTTCTTTGTCCTTAAGCACTAGTCAAGACACTGAAATTCGGAGGAGAACTGTTGGTGAAAATCTGCGTCTCTCGCCCCACAAAGAAGAGTCAATGAAGTCAGAAAACTCCGAAGAGGATGATGAGAACATGATGACAACTTGGAAGCCATTTCTAGTGAATATATGCATGTTCACTTTCCTCACGGCAGGAGCTTATCTCTGTTACAGAGTGTGTTTTCATTGATGGACGTGCCAGCAAGATCGACCCTGCAGAAAACACCAACAATTTGATCGGTTTGTAATAAGCTTCTCTGAAAGAAAGCTAACTGAGGCATGTGAGCCTTGTCTCAGTGGAGGTAGATCTTAGGTTGAAAGGCCGGAACTTTGGTTAGGGCTTAAAGAGAATTGATGCACTAGGGTTTTATCTAGCCCTGTGGTCCCAAGAACAAAATATTCTAATCTCAGGGCCTTAAAATATTCAGGAGTAAGCAAATAAAATGCCAAATAGTTTGTTTTCCTTTTTTTTTCTTTTTTTTCTTTTTTTTTTAAACTAAATAATACAATTACAACACATTGTTGTTTTTAGCCTTTTTTAAAAAGCCAGTTCTTTTTCTTTCATGTTTCAGAAAAACTAGGCACAAGTGAAACTTGCTTGTACTCTCCAAGTGTTGTTAACCAAATACATGACTTATTGATGAGTTCCCAAAAAAAGAAAAAGAAACCCACATACCTGAAGAATGTAAACTTCTTGGAAGGGAGGGCATCGGGGGAGGGGTGTTTGTGGTTGGGGTTTTTTGTTTCGTTTTGTTTTTTTTTAACTTGCTTCATCATTAAAGACTGAGTTGTGGGCAGTGCCTGTGGTATTGATATATTTAATCTTGGCATAACTGTTCTTCAAGAGCTTACTGTTTCACATGTGTTTATAGAAACAGGCTTCTGCATTTGCTCAGGGTATCCCAACGTGTCAAGCTCTTTTTTTTTTCCCGTTTTTTTTTTTAAAAAAAAAAATAAGTGTATCTCCTCATTGACTTTTGTTGCACTCTACTTGCACATGCGCCTATTTACATTGCACCATCCTTTGTAAAGCTGTTTTTACTTCTGTATTCTGGGTTAGGAGAGGCTGAGGGGAGGGAGAGAAACAGGAAGGGAAATTCAACCAAAACACGTCCACCAGCATTTTGCAGCTGTGCAGTTGGCGTTCAGAAGGACCAGTTCTTAAACCTCATCATTTGGAATGTAAAACGCAGTTTCACTCTACACCTGCTGCCTAAGGAATAGCATGCTTCCTGCAAGGGCCGGGGAGGTAAGGCACTCGGAGGCGTTGCAGGCAGTGAACAGGAAAGCATTTCAATAAATCCAGAGCAATTAATGCTGTGGCAGCTTCCTTAAGACGTAAAAAGTTCAACAGAAGACGTGTTGGTCTGTGAACGTATCAGTTGGCTTATGATGCAAGCGTTTGTGTGTTCTGCTGTTTTTAAAGCAAAGATTTAAAATACTGGCTTTAGTTTGGCTTGAAGATACGCTCTTCAGTAATTATGGGACATCGTGGTGCGGGAGGGTAAGTCTCGCACCTCTGCAGACAGGGCTGTTGCTATCCCAAGGTAAGCTAAGCGAGGCGGGTGGCTTTGTGCTATGCCATGCTGTGTCTACGTTGTTTCGCTCGGTCGCAGGCCTGTTCCGCGGGCTCAGGACTCGAATAATGTAAAGTGCTTGTAAATAAGGATTTGGGTCCATTGGTAGAACTGTGACTGGAAGTCGGCATTGCACTGAACAGTCTTAGTCAATGCTGTTCCTCTTGTTAGTACCAAATTATTAATAGTTTAAACAACAATAGCAAAGATTTCTTTGCTTGTGTCATGGGGCAGAGCAGAGGAGTGAGCTCACTACTGAAAGTTGTAGTGATTGAAACTGAACCATGACAGCTGATTTGCAACAGTGTTATTGATCAGTTCGTTTTATTTTTAAAGGCTTTCTCGATTTATAGCACTTAACTGCCGTTCTCCGTGCAAACGTCGCTATGGAGCATCTTACATAAGCCTCTCTCCACTCCGTATTTATTTTTGCAGAGCTGTCTGTAGGTGTAGCTCTTTTCCTTCAGTAAGTTGGTGAACGGGGGGCGGGGGCGAGTTATTTCTCTTTTGTGTTTCGTTAAGCTTGCATCAAGGGCTTCTCAAAAGTACAATAATAAATCCTCAGGTAGTACTGGGAATCAGTCCTTTACCTGCGAGACTGTTGGTCGGACCAGTACTTGAAAGGAGGAACGTTGTAATCAGTCAATATTTAGTTATATTATTGGAAACATGAAAAATGATTATAGAAAAATGGTAATATATAATGGCTCATCCGTGTATTTAAGATGCAGTATGTGATTGCTTTGTCCCCACTATTCCCTCCATCACCCGGTAGAATATTGTTCTAAGGCAACATTTGTACCCCATTTGTATTAAAATGCATGTAAAGTCTTCTAGTGTCCTGATTAAATACCACGTGCTTGAAAGGTGAAAGAACTTATATTTCTGCTTACTGATGTGCCCAAGTTATATTTGCATGAACTGATCATTAAGTGGCTGTGGTTCAAAGGGTGTTGCTGAAAGTATCTTCGTTCAGCGATAGACTGACTCGGTGTTTATCAGATAACATGTACTCGCCTAATACTTGGCATGACTTCCTATTGAATTTCTGCGTACTCAGTGTAACCCGGGTGTTTAGCATGGTTCATTTCAGCTGAGTAAGTGTAGTACAGACATTCCAGAGCGTTTAGTAAGCCCTATTCACACCTCACCTCTGGTCACTTCAGGCAAGCGATAGCTCGATGATTTCGGGCTATGACTGGCTGCGCTGCAGGAGGGGGAGGAAAGCCTCTTCTGCAAGATGCAGTAGCGTGCTTTGAGCTGCAGAAATACCGGCTCCTGCAGTGGTGGCCCATTTAAAAACAAACAAACAAAACCCACCCGTATGCCGTTCCCAAGAGGGAATATTTTAAATTTTAGGCTTGACAGGAAAGCGAGGCATCCTTCCTTTGAATCCAGAATAATTCACTTGCAAATTACTCTAACGAGATCAAGTTTCTGCAGATGAAGAAGCTCTGAACATCCATCCCCCTTTCTGCCCGTGGGTTTTGCCATTTCTTTCATCTGTTCCAAGTCCAGAACTTACACGCTGCCCCGGGACGGGCAGTGACTATCCCGCAGGCCCAGTGAGGTGTGTATAAGGCTTATAATACTGAACTGTAAACATTTTTGTTTTGATGTCCTGTATATGTATGTAGTAGTTCGGGTGTGTATATACAGTAGCGTTTCAAAGTGGGTGTATTGGTTAACCTATTCTTGGAAAACGGACAAATATCCATGTTAAACTTGTTAGAAAGTTAGTGAGCTGCTCTGCTATATGCCTTAAGCAAATATTTACTCATCAGGTCTTTCTTTTTTACAGATTGCCATAGAATAAACTTTTTTAAAAAAAAAATAAAAAACCAAAAAAGCTAAATGTTTTGGTATAATACATTTTCAGGTATCTTGTCTTTTGTGTAAGCCACTGCAAAGACCTCACAGGTTGTAGTAAAACTGTACAGTTTTTCAATTTCCCATACAAGTTTTCAGTTCTCATTTTAGTTGAAACAATAAAATTCTTTTTTTAAAGAATGTACGTGAGAGTCTTACTGCTTCCTCTCTTCTCGGGCCAGAGCCACTGGCTTCTGTTTTGAATCACTTGCAGATCGGGGCCAGCAGGGTGTTTGGTGGGGTTTTGTAGAAGAAAGTGATTTAAATGTTACTGTAAGGACTTGTAGGTCAGAGCTCCAGTAAAAGAGAGTGAAATGAGTATCCCATGTCTCCCTGACACATACTTCTATCTCCCTCCTCTAGTCTTTAAACAGGTAAATTTTAACTATCTTGGCCCAGGAGTCGGTGTAATGTAAAAAGTGTAGGAACTTTCAAGCATAAGTGGTTTTTGCAGGAGTTTCAGTTGTGCCTTAACACGAAGCTGCGTTTGGTGGGGATACAGCAGTGTACCTGCTTGTGTTACAGCAGCCGCAGCAATCACATTTCCATGTTGTTTGGATTAAAGTATTTTACCTTTTTGTTTGTATTTTTAAGGAAAGTTACAAATGGAGGAGAGGTGCTTGAAGAGAGAGTTGTCAGTAGTTTCATAAAGCGGTATTAAAACAGCTGTGGTGGGCTTTCATGCACTGCCCCTCGGAAACTGTCAGCACCTTACTGTTAGGGTTTAAAGCCTAGCGCAGGCAAAGGCACCTGGGCTGCCCCTGCCTCTTACAGCTCGCCAGCCATTTCCCTTTCCCCCTTCCAGTGAAGGGGGAGAGCAGAGAATTTACCGCAGTAGAACAGCGGCTTTCTCCTGCTTTTAAATAAATCCCTAAGTTAAAAGCAGAGTTACAGTACAGAGGAGCAGCCTGTTAAGTTTTACTTTGCTATGGAATAGCACGACCTAAACACCACGGCCCTGCTATTCAGAGCTCATCAGTAAAGATGTCAATGGTATAAGCCAGCTGCACATTTCCAGACCAAATACCAGTAGCAGAACAGTAGCTCAGCCTGTCCCAACAGTACAAGCCTGAACTTTTCACAGGCAGAATATGGAAGTGGGTACATGACACGCTGCCTGTCAAGCTAAGATGTGTGTCAGTTAAGTATCTTAACTCCCTTTGGGGGTTTATTGCCTTATACCTATCCACAATGCTACAAGCACGTCAGTATGAAGCACTTGCAGGAACTTGTCTCAAATGTTTTATTAGAATTTTAGAAAACAGTATGAAATCCAACAAATAAATACTGAATAGAAAAGTAATATATATATTAAAAAAAATATACACACAAGCCAAACCCTTTCAAGTATTTTACCTGAAGCCAGGCTTCTCTTCATGGCTACCCTCCACTAAGTTACGTAAGTGTTGAATAACAAGCCTGACAGTGGGCGTACGATTATGAGAAGTCTTGATCTATGACTAAATGAATAAATTTAAAAAAACCCAAAAAACTTATACAGAGCTGTCCATATGTCAGTCAGACCTGCACACGGCAAATACAATACATACCTTCCTGTTGTAAACCGCTGAGGATATACACTCAGTACCTAGCCTTGTCAGTCCTTGCTTGAACCTGTCCTAAGTTGCGATGGTTATGAAGAAACTGGCTTTTGAAGTAACAAGCTTTCCTTCTGCAACTGAACTGTACCAGAAAAGGAAACCACCAAGCACTGCCGCTAGATTTTTCTAATGTATATGGGCAGTTGATGTACGTGATCTGTTGTCTGCTAGTTTCTAGATGCACTGTTGGAGAGCAATCATTTCGCTCCTCTTTGAGAAATGCCAAATCAATAAAACACTTTATGGGGAAATGGGTCATATTTGACTGACTTACAGTTGGAGCAGGGGCAGTAATTCCGGTGAGACGAGGATTTTAACCCAAGTGACAACCTGGTTCCATGTTCTAAGAGATCCTCGTTTTCACTTGTCTAGCACTTGGTATTTCATCGTGTGCTGACAGACAGTGAGAAAATGTATTCCAGTCTACTTAGTGTAGACTGCAAACTCTCCCCCCTTTGGAAATAAACCTGTACTCTCTCAGTATGCAGCATGTAGATAGCAGGGCGTAAGTAAACCAGACACTGATAAACAACAAAAAATCCTCAGGTACCCATATGTGGCTGTGAGGACAACGTGATTCAGCTCCTCCTATTTCACTACTAAAACACTGTGATTTCAATTTCAGCCTCTTGTTGTACAGTTTCTCTTAATTCACAGCAAATCCTGTCCATTTTCTCAAAGGCTTGCCGTCCCTTTTCACCTGTGGAGAAAGAGAAAATACATCCCATGCTGAGGAAGAGAAAGCAGTTAGAAACAGCCTGAGAAACGCGATACTCTACAACTACTTCTGTTGTGACCTTCTTCGGAACTAACCAGAACTCTCAATAGCGACAAACACATCTCTAAGGGAATAGTTTTCCAAAAACTGCTAGAAGCCACCATGGAAAATCAGGCCTTCTGTAAACGTTTCCACATGAGCAACAATCTGGAGCATCACAGCTGGAAAACTTGTTTTGCAATTCACATGAATCTGAGTGTTTCTGTGAAGCAAGTCTGGAGATCCCCAGAACTAAGCGTGAACCAAAGTGGTTTTAGGAAGAACGGAACAGGGAAATTGCCGTCTCCTAGATAAACTGGACATCCTCTCTAGCAGCTGTGCATTTAAGATACTTAGCCTAGGCAATTCTCCTTTGCCCTCAGCAGAAGTACAAATACTAGACGGTAGCAAACTGGGAACGCTGACATTTCATTAGCAGCTCAACTCCACTCTACATCTACTGAATTCAGGTGAAGTAACAGGTAATGAACCAGTATACAAACCGTGTTGTTTGTACTCTTTGCCCTCCAGTACTCAGAGTGGAACCATTTGAAGAAGAATAGGAACATCAAAATTGGAAGTAGCTAAGTAGTTTGTAGGTGTCTAGAAAAGACTACCAGACCCGAAGAGTCCGTTGTTGTGATACATATAAAAGATCTTTAAGTCAGCTTAGCCAATCTCGGAGCTAGAAGAGGCTTTGTTGTGATCTGCCAGGTTGAAATGTCCTTTTTACAAAATCTAGGAGGAGAAAATCGCTGATGCCAGTACTACTATTAAGAAGTACTCCAGCAGCACTGTCAGCACTTTCAGTACTTATCTGCCACCTTTTTAAAAAGTTTAGTGGTTCTTAAAGCACTTTATCCTACAGTAATCTCCTTGGTCCGGTTCTACAAACTTCAACGGGAGCCTACATGATACAAAGTTTATCTTAATGGTATGAAATAGCTGCCCATGAAATATTTCCATTGTCCTAGATGTGTTCAGGCTGAACTTCAGGCCTGTTCTGGCTCTGCACTATTTCACGTTACTTTTTCAGAATCTGTATTTTCAAGTTGTGTGAAAGACTTACCAAAGGACAGCGTTGTTTCCCTGGCTGCATTCCTAACTTCCTCTGTTGCAGATTGGCACAGGTGAGCGACCTGCTCAATACTCTCAACACCCTGTTTGAGAAAAGAAAAGTTTGCAACAGTAGCTGTTCAGCAAGCATTTTGATGAACATTTTTTGCAAGGTAAACACATACATACAAACCCCATCTTTTCTTGCATCTGAATTCTACCGTCACCTTTAATTCTCCCCCAACATACCAGCTTGCAGTTAATTTTTCTGAGCGTGATCTCACCTCTGCTACTTTCTCTCCTGTTTTAGGGCATGAAAAAGTGTAAAAGCTCTAGGGTACAGGTCACTGCTGCGGTACCATTAAATTAGCATGAACCAATCAGGGCCTTCACTGAAAGAGTTAATGGAGGTTGTGCAAGGGCAGCAGTTGCTTTGCAAATCTGACTTTGAGAATAAGACTCCGATTTGTTGGGCCTGTGTCTTGTGACTACATGTTTGTAGAAACTACTCACAATAATCCCTTGTGTGCAAACTAACTTATTACAGACTTGTGGCTGGTGGAAAGCTTTAAATCTGTCCTGACAGCTTCTTATAATAGCAATGCAAATATTACTTTTATTTTCTGACTATAATCAGCTGTTGTTAAAAAAAAAGATGAACTGATTTAATGTTAAATTTCTATAGTTAAAGCTTTAGAACTGACTCCATATATAGCTGACTGTTGCTCATTTTTCTGCATGCTAGATGTCCCCCAGTCAGACAGCGTCTGTTGTCCTTCCCCACTGACAATACTGTAGAAGTTAGAAAACGTCCTTTCTGCCATTGTACTGTGCCTGGTCAGATCAACTTGAGATGCTCCAGATGCCTGCAGCTCCCTCTGCCTGCTGCCTTCTGAATAACAGTATTAATACTTTGGAACTTTGGCAGCCAAAGAATTCATTAATTCCAAATAGAAGGAAGCTGAAAAAGTAACCCTACCGGCTTAAAAAAAAAAAAGCTAGGTGCACTTTTAGCACCTAGCAATTTTGGCCAGACACGCACAGCAAAAGTAGAGCTGTAAATACTTACTCTGAGGTTTTTAAGAGCCAAACATGCAGCTTGCTGAAGTCTTGCATCACAGTCAGCTAAAACATCAGTGTAAAAAAAGAGAGCCTGAATGAAAAAAAAGTTGTGGGGGGGGGGGGAGAAGAAAGGCTTTATAAACTTAAGCATAATGAAGAGCTCAAATTCAGAGTGACATAAGCACTGTTTTACCTATCTGAAATTGAATAAAGGATATAGACAAATCACTTGAGCACTGATGTAGTTCAGGTTTAGTTAATAGATTAATGAAGTGCAGAGAGGGCAATAGGGCTATTCTAGGATAAAACGAGCTCCACGTATTTCAGCATCTATTTAGAAAAGCCGGTAAGAACTGCAGTCTTCACCTTTTCCCTGAAGTTCTTGTTTGCTGCTGCATGGGAGAGGCAGGATGTGGCTGCTTTGCTGACGCGGTGGTTGTCGTCTAGCTGTAAAGTCCCAAGTAGCCGTAAAGTCTGCGGTAGAGGCTGGAGTTTGTTCAGCCGCTTTCCTTTCAATTTTTTAAGAGTCTTCAGCCGTCCAGGGCATTGTAGCTCCTCAATTAGCATTACTGCAAATGAAAGGACTCAACTTCACTAACTGACAAATGAAGACATCACCAAGAGAAGACAAACTCCTCTCTAATTCAGTCGCCTTTAGCCACAAGTAGTTATTCACATGGCTAATGAGCAAGCCAAGCACGGCAGGAAGCAAATCAGGACGACTGCCCCTTTGACCATCCTGTCTTCTTTCCCTGTCATTGTTTCATTTCCTCCTATGCCAAGACTGTCTGACGAACGGAGCAGAGATTATTATTTCACAATAATAGCGCAGCCACAATATTTCACAACCACAGCGAAGCCCCGGTCCTTCTAGGACCCGGGTGCGTTGAGTACAACATGCAGTGCAAAAGAACTCCTACCCCTTTGGACATTAGGACAAGCGGTCGAGCCCTACAATAAGGAAAACGCGATCGAGCAAAATACTTCTAAACATCCCTGAAATATCTTGCTGTACTGGCCAAAGAGAAAACCCTCTATCTTTTAAAAAATAAGAAATCAGGCAGTAGATTGACAGTTTCAATTTGAAGAATATTCCAGGTCTTTTTCACTGACTAGCCATGCACAAGTTCTTAGTCCTGCACCAGATGAGTCATCTGCATCAAAATAAGACTAAAGATGCAGTCATTATCAGGACTATTTTTAAAATAGTTCTTTTCTGATACAGACTAAGTTTTAAAGTACTTTCACACGTTGGGCTAGGCTTCAGCGAGACACTGGCTACCTCGTGCTAGAAAATGCACATTAGTAACCTCGGAAATTTTATTGCCATTATCTGTGTCTGATTACAGCTGCAATAGTCACACAAAGCTACAGACATTTACTCAGTCCTTCAATCCAGCTGTAGATCGCTGCCAACTTCGTTTCTGCTTTAAGTTCAGAATATTACAGAACCCACTTCCTAGGGCACTTAAGATAAACCCATCGTTTGCACCTCTTTTGTTTCTACCCGGTTAGATATGGGAGTCAAGCATGTCTTTCCTGTTCTAATTAAAATTACATGGTCATAAAGGGAATTAAAATGGAAACAAACTGCCAATGCAATGGTTGGGCTGTTTTCTGCTCTGAAAGTGTATCTTGAGTAACCTGGAGAGCAACAGCCAGCCGCTGGGCTTGTCAGTTCAAGCAAAAGAGCCAAGCACTGCCATTACCTTCTTTAGCAAGTCTTCCCAAGTGTTTCTCCAGGCTGGTAATGTGGTGTTTCTCCAGGTAGCTATAAAATTGGAATAAAGTAACCAGTTCTGTTTGGAGGTACGGAGAGGGGAGCAACCCGTCACAGGTGATGATCTGCTCCAGCAGCCTCTGCAATACTGAAAGTAACACGGAAAAGAACAAATGAGAAACTGAAAGGTTGGTTAGATGTAAGCTGCTTAAAACAAGTAAGAGTTTTAATTTATTTTTAAAATGCACAAGGACAATTTTTAGCCATGCAATAAAATGAAACCAGAGTGGCCTTGTGTTCAAGGAACAGATTGGTACCTGCTTCTAATTGACCAGGGTATTTTTCCTTCACTTTGAGCATCAATGTGTATTTTAGTGCATGACGGAATCTTTCTGCTGAAGCAAACAAGATGCTGCCAGGCTCTGCAAGATCACTCCAGATTTTCAGATAGTGCTTCTTCTTTTTAGTCTTCTGAATAACTGAAAAAAATCACATTTTAAAAAGTCAGCGAGCTCTAGCAGATTTTGGATTATTACATGAGAAATTAGGCACCAGATGGCATATCTAGAGATGTGTCAGCATTAACTTGTATTTGCGTTATACAGATGGTTTTGTTCAAAGCTGGAGATTTGCTGCCAGTATTTTAACATCTGCAAGCATTGATTTCACCAAGCTTGGGTTGAGCTCCTAAACTGTCATAATGAGACCTGAATGAGATGCCTAGCAGCTCTTCTGCCTCTTACTATTCATTTTATCCCAGCATCTGAGTCAAGTTTCTGAAGAACTTTCTGTGAGTTCAACTGTTTCCACTTCTATCAGCAAGAGATGTGCCATTTCCAAGCGTTTTAGAGACCCTGTCTTATGTACCTTCACAAGTGGAGAACTCCAAACCTCAGTGCATAGGCTGAGGCAGGCTTCCTTTCATCAAACAGTTCAGAAAAGCACTTGAAGCAATACCCTGTGGTTTCTTGCTATCATTTAAACCCTATCATTTCTCACTCTTACCTACAGAGATGTTGAACTTGTGTTCTGCATTTAAGACTCCTACACCTTCTTCATCACATTGTACCAAAGGCCCTTTGGAGCTTTGCTCTAGGGAACAGTTTATTCTCACATCCTTCAGGATAAAATCTGTCAGCAGATCCTTCCAACTAAAATTTGCATTCTTGCCATTATATTTACCAAGATGAGAACAAAAGCCTTCAAAGTCTCCCATTGTGCCTTTATCATTTTGTCACATCCAACAGTCAATGGAAGAATTTAGTAGTGAGAAGGCCTGAAATGGGGAAAAATTGCACGCCAAACCTTTCTTGCAAACGTGTACAGAATTTGGGCTGTTTGCTTACTAAGTAAAAGAATAGCTATAAAAGAGGATTTTATTAAGGCTATTCTGCTGTTCTTCGACTGCAAACTCCATCACCTATAACATCCCTGTTTCTAAGACATACCAGTTCAGCTACTATTTCTTTGAGACAAACTTCTTCAAATCTTTTCCTTCCTTGCAGGGGAAAAAAACAAGCAAATGACGAGCCCTGTTTTTTCTAAGAATCTAGATATAAGAGCTGTTTTATTTACATGAATGTTTATAAGGAATTTAAAGTGAAACCCTGATGTGTCTGGGGAAGCTCAAGCAGAGTTACCTGTACCTCTCACATCTCTGGCACGCCTTGGAACAATAGTTACTCACTTTCTTCAACAGACATATCCAAGACATCCCCCAGGACTCGCGTCTGCTCTGATACTTCTTCCAAAATGCTCTCCTGGACAACCTGGGCTACATTTGGTGACCTCAGTTTCTGAAATGCAACATGCTTATCTTAGTAGCTGAAACAAAGGCAGTATCAAGCTCAAGATGAATGACGATTTGTTTCTTAGAATCAAACTTCTAAAATCTGTGAGAAAACACACCAGCTGCTCTCAAAAGGCCTCTCTTCCCACCACAGCACAGACAGGTCACTTCCAAGTGCAAAGCTGCTCAGCAGAACAGGACAAGCAAGTCACATTATGCTGGGACAAGCTGTCTGGCATTTGACATTCTTCTCTGCCCCTGTCCTTTGACAACTGTGTAGCGGATCAATACTTAGTTACGCTGTCCTCTGCTGCCCATCCTCATCAGAGGTAATACTTTGAGGACGATAAAGTGCTTGAGCACTATAACCAAAATTAATTGAGGAATGGGGTCTCAAGGAGAAATAAGAGTTCTTTCTTGCCCTACATGCTACCAGTTTCTTTCTAGTAGTAGCAGTTTTTCATTCATTAAAAAATTGATCACCTGTTATCGATACACAATTCAACCCAAATCTGTCCTATTGCATTAGCAGCCTGCTTTGGGCACAAAGGTATTACTTAGAGCTTCAGCAAAACCCAGAGGCTGGAAAAAAGCAGCAGAGTTTTGTACGACACATTCTGTGCATTCACATATATACACTGCATTTTTTGGACTCAATTTCTATTCTGAGTCTTTCTGCTTTTATAAAAAAACCAGCTACATAGTCACTTTTGTCCGTAATCAGAATCAACAATTACCAGTGCCCTGGAAACCCATAGGCTATTCCTTACCTGCAAAAGACCTTTGCACAGCTTCAGGTGAGTTATCAAAAGTACGTCTAAGTTGTCATCACCAGTAGTTACATCTCTTGTTTCTGTTCTCATGTCACAGCTCAGGGACTGAAGCGTGTTGTCATTGTATGTGCTGTTGAGATGAGGGAAAAAAAAGTGTTAAAACTCTCATCACTAAATAAATATGAAGATGTGCAGTCTCAATAGTAGCCTTCAAGCAAGTTGCAGAAGTACAAACCAGGCAGCATTTAACAGATAAATGCAATTAAAAATGCTGTTGTAACACTTCTTAAAAACATGAGGACTTTATTTCTAAAACTCATTGCAGAACAGTAATACCAGATCAGTTGATCCCACAAAATCCTATTTTGGAGAATCAATATTAGTAAAAGATGCTTCCAGATAATGTGAATTGAGTTGCTGGCTCATTTGCAGCAGGTGAACTGCAAAAGCAGCACATACAACAGACAAATCCCTTGGTGTTCTCCCAACTCGATGATACTGGGAGCGTAGTAAGTCTCCCAGGATCAGGCTCATAGCTCTGGAATGTAAGTTTCAGTGCTATGCAACCTGCAAAATGCAAAACCGAATTCAAAAGAAAGAACAGGTAGAAGAGCTCTGTAAGTTAATCGTAGCTCTCTCCCTTGCTAGTGCAGAACTGTTCAGCATCATCCTGATAAACCTGTTTCCTGCGGTCTGTTTCTAGCAGTCCTACATGTTAGGCCTTCCATCATATCCTGCGGTTATCATTCTGCAGCGTTTTCCGTAAGTTCAGTTTAAGTTTCCTGCCATTTCAATCTGGTAGGTATTCTGAATTATGAATCTCAGAGTATTCAAAAAAATTGGTTTCTATCCTGGATGTTCATACCACTAGCAGCTCTGCACAATCGTTACTTAGCCAGGTATAGTGTATCGGTAAGTGTTCCTGGGATCAGCCCTCCTCAGCCCTTTCCCTTGTCCCCTATAAGAAGTGCTGCAGATACATACCTGATACTGGCTGTTCTTACGCTTCCAAATAACGAAAGCTCATCAGCACTACAGTCAGCATTTAAAAAGTCAAAACTTTCCAGTACTGTCTCCACCATTAAACTTTCCATAGATGAATGTTTGTGATGAAGTGTCTTTAGCTGTTGACGGAATGGAAGGAAGAATATTGTTACTTGCAGTTATCAAGCCATTTTCTATGAGTTCTTTGCCTTTTTTCAAATCACTCTTAATAACAAATCAATTTGCTTTTCTGATTTCATTCTTAACGCGTCAGGAAAATTAGCTCTTGGTACAGCACTCTGATCCCAAAATAATGTCGCGAATTAAATTCAAAATATGCTTCAATATTTTAAACTGTCTGTATTCCTTTTTGGATTTCCATGCCTCGAGATTGGTATGAGAGCTGATTTTCTCTGCATCTTCTGCCATTAGTGCAATTTTCACTTATTCCCTGTTTCAGATACAGAAGTAGCAATCTTAGGGGGTCTGTTGCATTCCAGCTTAACATCCAAGAACTTCGGTATCAATAGTGGATTTCATGAGGCCACTAACTTTCTCCCCCTTGGAAAGGCTGCTTTGAGAGCACTTGGTTTGGTTTTTTTAATTCCTATTTTTAAAGTGGTTGCACTGGAATAGGAAGTCAGTGCAGCTTTGTTAACATGATTTATTATTCCAGACCTTAGATGAAGTCTTACAGTATCTTATCTCCCAAGTCTGCACACTGGCCCCATGTACTACAACGCTACCAAATTTGCAATATAACCCACTGCTTGCAGAAAGCTCTTCTCCAGGACCTTTCCTCTATATGACTTGTCAGACTGAACTGCCTGCAAAAGCTAGGTGATCCTGGAGAAACATTAGGTTTGATGAACTGATGCTGTCATCTCAAGGTATACTAAATCTGACAAACATCAAAAAAAATTAGAAGCAAACCACAACGCAAAGGCTCTGACATACAGTTCAGATTCTGCTTAGCCCAGATTAGTTTCCACTTTGACCGCATGCAGTTTCTTAATTTCTTTTTCCAGATTATTGATCTGTGCACAGCATTTAACAGTTGTCTCCGAGAGATGCTGTGCAACATAGTGCTCCCGTGTAGTTAGCTCTCAAGGCTGCCTTTTCCGAGCGGTGCCTGACCTCTGGTGGCCAAACTTACTTTTTGGGAACGTGCCACCGATACATCATTAAACCAAATCCACCACAGGGTCATGGAACTTCTACAGTTTTAGGAGTAACAGTGGAAGCTACACCATCTATCAAGAGTAAAACACTACCATACCTTTAATTTATCCCTCAGAGATGAAACTTGGTATTCCAATTTCTCCAGTTGGGCTTGCCCCACATCGTGTAATTTCAGCAAATTTAACACTTCTTGTAGAGTCTTATCAATTGACTTTGTATGTCCATCTAGTTTTAGGTCATTTGCAGCATTCAAGCTTTGCTGGCTAATGTCTTCTTGCTCTGTCAGATGGCGATTTCTGGTCTGGCTGAAGGAATCTCTACTACCTTTGTGACGATTCAGAAAACTAGATGGGTTATTTGGAAATCCATCCACACACGGAGTCTTCTTCAAGATATCTAGAGTTGTGTGATTTGGAAGAGGATGCTGTCGCTCTTCTGCACAAGTCTCTTGAATAATAACCAATGGCAATGTCCTATGGTCTAGAGCTGGAGTTGTATTTCTGGATTCTGTCCCTTTCTGATCCTCAGAGCTGAACGAGTCTGCCTCACTTGTCTCTGCAGGATTGTAAGGCTTGCTCCTGCCATGTACATCAAAATCACAGGCAGCCAAGTAGCTCAATATGCTCGGAGGCTGAGCTTCATCACTTACATCCCCTTGGTTCTGCCTTTGTTGCAAAACAGACTGCAGCAAATAGATTTGTAAGTGAGCACATACACAATTGAAAAGCATGAGATAACACCTAAGATAGAGAACTATGGTTTCCTGTTCTTGGAAACACACGCATCCAAACTGATCAAAACCACAGGGCTCTTCTGCACGCTGGAGCCAGGCCAGCATAGACTGGACAAAAGAAACTATTGAAACAAAATACTAAGAGCCTACTGGATGAGCTAAGGGGAGCAGTAGTAACTGTGCTTTAGATCTTTCAGACGAAGTTATCAAGACAGCTAAAAAATTGTTTCTGGAAAAAGAACTTTGCCAAGCAGCTTTTGTGTCACATCAGCTCAGGACAGGACGTGAATGTAGTGGTTAGAGGAAACGTTCATTTTGAAGAGTCCAACATACCCTGTACAAATAATAAACCTTTCTGAAGACGACTGCATATTCTGCTGCTTTGGTGGGGCAACGCCAAACCTGACTTAGACTTGATGTTAGGGGAACATATATATGATGTTATTAGCATTTGGGATGTATGGCAGAATTAACAGGATCATATAAAACAACACCCTCTTGAATGAATGAGAAAGAGGGCAGGGTTTTCTATTCCCCTGGGCTACGCTTGGCAAAAAGTGGGGTTGAGGAAAAGGAAGGTTAGTTTCACATAGCACCTCTAAGATGCCATTCTGCTCCACAGCTACTGAGACAGACTGGTTCCCAGTTTGATGCCCACCATAGACTGTTAGAGCTGATGCCCACGCCCCTACCATTCTGGCTGCCAAGAGGAATATTTGGCAGGTGTTTGGTTGTTTTTTTTTTTCTTTTACAAAATCTAAAATGGAACTCAAAAGAATAGAGGTTAGAAGAAAAATATAACGAAGCCCAAAAATAAACTGCAAAGGCCCTGGAGTGCTACGTTTTCACATTTCTGTGTGTGTTCTTCAATAGCCTAATCTAATCCAAAAATCAAGTCTTATGTCTGTGGTTTGCATTTTGCTTTCCTCGGCATACTCACCAGGTAGTATTTCTCTCTGAAGCTGGGAGTATTTGGTGGGGTCCAGTTGTATAACGAGCTCTTCCTGCTACCCACAGAAAACTTGGCAGTGGTTCCAGGTGACAAAAACAGGTTCTCTGTGTCAAAGGGTCTGTAGCAGAAGACAAAGACCTAAGTGTCAGTAAGACCAGAAAGCACAGAAATGTTTAGCAGCAGGAAGAGCTGTTAGGATTTGGACTGTGACATTTAGTAAACAACACGGGGAATAAAAGGAAAGAGAGACTACCCCTCTGACCAATATTTTTGATTGCACCAACAGAGAAAGAGGTAGGCCAAAAGGTGTATTTTACACAGAATTCTCAACACCCTTTAGACAGAGACCTGTGCCACAGTCTTTGGAAGAAGAGTCCAACAGGCCAAAAGTCTGAAGTGCTCTCCGTCCTTCTGCAGTGTCCTACACCAGTGCTGGCAAGTACAGTATAGGCTGCTTGCCGCCAGCCACTGGACAGATAGCGAGATGTACACCATACCAGATAGGAAGGAAATAAAACACATGTAATAAAGGAAAACTGTCATTAATTTCCCTCCTGCAGAGTACACACCACCTGGAAAAGCCACTGAAAAAACTTCATTATCCTTCAAATATTAACCAACACCTCCTTTGGCTGGCAGAGGAAGCTTGTGCAGTGGTATATGGCAAGTTATATGGTTCATACAGTCATGGATGAATCCAGTTATAGTCCCAGAGGATACTGGCTGTGGTCTAGAAGAGTTTGGCAAGACCTGCTCTAAAAAATTCCCAATTACCTACTACATCACAGCCGTTAATTTCCCAACTCCTTTGCAAAGCAGTCTAAGGAAACTTGGACAAACTGTCTCCCAAAATGCAACTCAGCTAACCAGGAGAGGGAAAACATATTTAAAGTTAAGTAAAGCAAGTTTGTTTTTTCTACATGTTACTTTTGTTCCCTACTGATATGCCTTGTGGCACCAAAAGAAAGTTTGTTTCTCCACTTAAGTACTGGCATTTTGAAAAAAAGTGAATTGTTTATAACAAATCTGTAATCTCATAGATATGAATATAATGACCAAACAGTAGGATGAAGTCAGCTGCATTTAGCTGTACAATATAGAATCACTAGAAGTCTGAAAAGATCCAAACAATAACAAGGACTAATCAATTACAGGGAAATTAACTTCTGCTCTCTAGCAAAACTTGAAAAGCAGAGCTCCAGTTCTCTCTAGCTTCTCATGTTGCACAGGGACAATTCTCAACAGCATCCTGCAGTGCAACACACCACTGTCTTCCTCAGCATGGAGGTAACACTCTGTGAGCTGCCTAATACAGGTTAATTGGCTAAATTAACCAGTGTCACCCAGCTGGGGTTCACCAAACAGGCCAGTTCCATAGAGTCACATTAACAACCATCTGCATTGTCTCACTATGCAGAAAATAAATTGGATTTCTGACAGTAAGAGCCTTTTAGCCAAAGCCTGCTATGTTGACTGATGGAAGCAAATTACTCCCATCTATGGCTATGTCTTAAGAGTCACAAGGATCCATTCCTCAGATTTTTCATTTTTAGCTTTTAATATAGTAATGCAAAGTGACACTTTAGAGGAAAGGGACCGGAATAACAAGCTAAATCTGTTTTGCCCCTTTGACAATTACTAAAGCCCTCTAGCAAAACACAGCTATTCAGCTGCCCTCCCAACAAGCACGCGCTCCCTGTTACTGCAAGATAACAAGCTGAGAGAGCAAAGCGAAGGGTGAAGGAAAGAATGAAGTCTGCTCTAAAGCATCTGTTATCTCTTGGTTGTAAGCTCTTTGGGCATGATCCATCATCTTGTTCCACATTTGTACAGCAAACAAAACATCATACTGGGACAGATCTATGAATCCATCTCTCCCAGCAGCTTGACATTGACAGAAGCCAGTAGGGGATATTCAGGGGAAAAGCATAGGAAATAAGTCAAACATAATAGGCTTTCCCCAGACACATACTCAAATTTGAGGCAATCCATCGCTTAGATCTGTCATGCACCAGACTTTGCAAGCAGACTATTACCTTTAATTGTCATATGCTTTTCCTTAGTTTGTCTAGTCACTTCCTGAAATCATTCACACAAAATCTCTGCGTAGGTCAAAAGTATGCAGGAATTTCATTATTTAACTTTAAATTGTGGAACAAGTACTTTGACGTGGCGGGGTCTCTGTAGCTGTACTGAGAGAAACAGTGACTAATCATTTCCTTTCCACATTCCCCACAGCGACCATCTATATGCCCGTACAGTATTACCCAATACCACCTTTTTAAGACTGAAAAATTCTATTAAAAAAATGAAAGTGGCCCCACATGTCTGACCATCTTTGTTGTCCCCATTCTATTTCTATATTGCCAAACATGTCGGCCTTTGGTTATAACTAATTACAATAATGGCATTAAATGCATGATGCTACAATGCCATCATTGTTAAGGCCAATGTAAATGCAGCACATAACTCTCCTTTAGCTTGCCTTAGCACCATTGCAGGACTTTGGTGTTCAGGTCCAAAACACACGTGCCCAGCCTGTCCTTGAAGGGGTTTACGGTTCATCAGATCTCATGTTTCCTAGATTGCACCTCCCACGACATCAGAAGCTTTGCATCCATACACATTCAGAGGTACCTCAGCCTTGCCAGCACTGAGCATGGATTCCCAGTGAGATATTTTGTCATAACCACCAAACCTGTGGAGGGATGAAATACTTGAGATTTCTACCATTTCCCTTACCCTGCTGCATTTCTCTGTTGGGTGTGTAAGGAGGACACTTCCTGGTTTATGTTCTCAGAGGAACATAAGTAATCAGGCAGAGGATGTAAGAGCTGAACTCGATTCGGTCTTCAGCCCCAGAGGATCTGCATTCCTTTCTCCCACTGTCAAGACTATGCCCTAATCACTCCCCTTCTGTCCAATCAGTCCATGTATTAAATACTACCAGGCCAGAAGGGCTCTTGGTGGATAGACCTGTGTGAATCCAGACTTGCATTAATACAAAATACCTATTCACGTAAGTTTTCATCTGTAAGAGCAAGACTGTGTGTAGGTACATATAAAAAAAAAAACAACCACCAGACTTTTGTTTTTTATTCTCCCTTAAGGTTTTTTCCCCTCCTACTCCACAAACCCTTGTGAGCCAGGCCAGCACACGCTCAAAGCAGGCAGAAATCACAAGAGTGGTTCTGGCCGGCTGGTACCCTTAGATCCCAGTACGGGGTGCTAACTGAAGTTCTGAGAAGAGAATACAGGCTTTCTCTTTGTCCTTCATGTGAGAGACAGAATTCAGACTGCTGTTTAGATTGGCAAAAAAACAAAGTCTTCTGCCAAACTGGCCAACAAAGCCGTTCTGCAACAGGCCTAAGCTCATTCACACTCCTCATGGCATAATCTATAAAGGAGTTGAAGGAACTTTTGTTAGAGCCCAGAAGACTAGTGGCCTATTTAAAGAAAATATACATTTAGAAGTGCAAGACTGATCTACATTTGGAGTTCTCACAGAGTAGGTCTAGATTGAAAGCTTGCCTCTCAGGGAAGTTTGGGCAAGTCAGCTGGATTTGTTTAGTTATTCTTAAATCAAAGAAAAAAGCAGCTGTTATTTTGAGTGCTCTATCTTTGAAAATAGAAACACCCTGAGTTATCACCACACAACTTAACTTTTCTGTAAACAACTTCAGCAAACAGGCTGTCAAAGAGGAGGAGCCTGCCAGTTCTGTGCAGAAGTGCTCTGGAGAATCCACTTGGTAGGATACCAATGCATTTCACAAAGCTTAAACACAGCAGAGACACGCAGCCGGAGTTTTCTCATATGCTGAAAAACTCCAAGTGGGGATTAACTCCCAAAGAGAATGCATCACCACTAACCGTGCTCTCAGTTCAGCTGTTGCCAACTCTAAAAGCTGGGTGATGGTTGTCCCAAATGCCATAGAACTGCTCATCTTACCAATCAAAAGCTGCACTCTGAGCTGCGAGCTACTGCAACAATCAAGTGTCAACATAGTTTCAATTGTATTTTTCTAGAAAATTTAGTCACAAATATCATTTGCTTTGGAGATTTAGGCTATTATCTGAGAAGCTATGCAATATCCCAGAATAGGAAGGGGTTTTCCCCTCATACAGTCCTTTTGGAAGAACAACTTATGTGCGTAATTATTTATGCAAGTTATTGACAGCAAGGAAAGGCAAGCAAGTAGATCCAGCAAAAAAATAAATGAGTGTTATATACCATTTGTGTGGGTTAACAAGAAGAGAGTAGAAGTGATTTCTTCCAGACTCCACTACAAATGTGCCATCTCTTGGTACAGCACTTCCTATATTAGGGCAAAAACAGATTTTATACCCCGTTCAATAACAAAAGTATGTCTCCTTCACTGCACAAGTGAAGCTTCTTAAGATGTTAGCCTTGAAGTCAGGGAAAAAGGGACCTCCCTTATATGAAAAGCATCTCTGCAAGCAGAAGGTTCCGCTCCGAAACTGCATATAGAGCTTTTGATCATTTTACATTCAGATTAAACCCAATGCAAGTCTTGGTGGCATGTGTTTGTTGCAGGGTGAGACACAACAAATAAAGGTATCAGATTTTGCTGGGGATGTATGAGAGCCCATATATCCTCCTATGCCCCTTTTCTCTCCTTCCTTCCCCAGTACTAAGACCTGTTTTGATGTTCGCGTAATATTTTAATTGGCCTTCATTTAAAAGGTCTATCATTTTAAGAGCTACTTTTACTTTAAAAAAATATATATATATATAATGCAACTTGCACCATCCCCACTCCACACAGTTATAACTCTACCATGAATGTGTCTGCTTTCAGATTCAAATGGGAATACATAAGTAACTTGGCATGAGTAAGAAGAAGTTTCATAGGGCACATAATGCAAGATCACAGCAAGCTTCTGGAATGAGGCTTTGTTACCTAACTAGTTAGTGGCTCAGCTTCTCAAATAAGAAACAGAGGCCTCGAAAGTCTCAGAGCAGCTGCAGCACCTCACCAAAACAAAACATATACTGGTGCCCATTGTGAGATCTGAGGAGGAAAAAGTGTCATAAACAACAGGTGCAGACAAAACGCTGCTGTGTAAGTTTATTTCTCATTGACTTAGAGCAATGTGTGTGTTTCAAAATAATTTTCAGATGCTGTTGCCAAGACTCATTTTGCAGCCCAAATGCATGTACAAGTCAACAGTAAATTTCAAGAACCACAGCATACACAGAAGACATTCAGAAAATAGTATGTTGATCAATAAAGCTTTTCTTTCCCCAACCCCAGAAATGCAACCTGAAAACTGTTTATCCACACTTGACCAGGAGTTGCAACAGAAAACCTTTGTGGCATTTCTCCTGTTGGTGGCTTAAAAGACTGTGATAAGGTTTAAGTCAAACGATGCTTCCAAAGGTAATTAAAAGTAGAAACAGAGTATTAAGACCTGAAAAATGAAGTGTAATTTAAAATACATTTGGTTACTTTACCCTAAGGGCAGGAAAACTTTTCTCTTACTGAAGGATCTGTTTGGCTTTTGGGCACATTTGGCAGCCCACACATTCAACACACAAGCTTTTTTATTTTTGGTAATTTTTAAGAAAATAAGAAACCAACATGTCCAGAAAAGAGTTGTGTAAGGCTGAGTCACAGGCTAGTCTGGCCTGCAAGGTACAGCTCCCTGCCCTTCCTAATCTAAACATTGTTCAGTTTCTGCTTTTCCTGGAGAGAGCCTAGATCCACAAGTCATCACAAAGTGGCCTTTCAAGAAGGTCCTTATCATGGAGGTGTATCCAAATGCCTCTTTGCCATGTTGGGTTGGGAAGAACTGAGGACTGCAGTAAGCCGTATACAAAAGTACAAGTGAAGAGTGCCCATTGTTTAATTGGGCACCTCACTAAGATGGCTAGATTTAACCCCTGGACAATAGTAAATGGAAACAGGTTAAAAAGTTTTGATTTGTTGCAGACAAGACTGTCAGTATGGACCAACAGTCCCATAAAGCAGAAATAATAGTACTACCTCAAAAATCTATGGTGGTGTGTCTAGAGTGAAGAAGTTCCAGTGTAGCATCCACAAAAGTGAGAATTTGCTTTTAATAACATCAGTAATCCACTACAAAAATCAATTTACAGATTTAAATTTTAAAACAATTTAACAAAACACAGGCACCATGAAAATACTCAGCTATTTTAAAAGTGCATCTGTAACCAAGCTTCCCTGTAGCGCACAAACAGGCCTTATATCAGTAACTGTAATCACAGGGCAAATATGAAGGTGCTAAGTCTTTGGGAAAGCTTCATTTTTAACAAATTGTGGCATAGTAATAGTGATTGCCCTAAAATTTCAACTACATATTTTTTTCATTGTGCCTAGAAGCTGCTATTTTCAGTTTCATTTCATCATCTTTAAGATTGTTCATGTTTTATAGATGTACACACGTTGCTTGGAGCAACTCATTCCAAAGAGTAGGCTAAGTAAAAGCCTACTAGTCAGTTCATGTTACCATGGCTCTGGCAACATCAACACAAAGAACTGAAAGGTCACAGAAATAGCTTCTGTCCCTTTCCCCCTCCCCTTCCTGAGGACTGGTCCCACAGAGTCAGAGATCAGGCACAGTAGCTGGAGTTGCTGTGAGGAAGCATGTGGCTGCTATCTATCCTGCACCTGCTCTACAAATAGAAAGAGGACTATGATGTTGAATGCTACTAAATGACATACTTAGGAGCCTTTAATTTATTTCAAATGTTTGGCTCCAGCTTTTTTCATTTGAAGCTGTACTTACTTCCAGAGGACCTCCAGCTGTAGCTTGATGGTGCCCAGTTCAGTTATATCCACAATGATTGCCTGAGGTTTGGTTGTAAAGAAGTTTATGCTGTCGCATGTCACAACACCAACTAGAATAGTGGCCAGTCCTCGCAGCTCTGTCACCTGCAGGGACAAACATATCCATTTTCATCTTACCAGACAATCCTAAGTCAGTAAGAGAGGGGAACACCCCAGGCTCAGATCTGCTCTGAGGCCCACAACAAACTTAAAACCTTGATACTCAATTCTGGGCTCCTAAACTGTTGTTAGCCAATATCCCCACAAGGAATATATCATAGATGGCTAGCAAAGAGGAAAGCAGTTCTATGAGTTGGGGAGAGACAGAGCTGTACAGCACTTCTGACAGAATTTGTTAGACTACAATTTTAAGAAAAATTAGTCTGAAATTCAGAAATTCTAGCTCTGGTATACATGCAAGTAGTTGTCATTTATAGTAGAGTCTAGTTTATCTAGATATTAGAACAACACTGTCATAAAAATATGTATTACAAAGAAGTATATTAGCCTACCTACACTAGACTATTTCAGCTCTCAATTGCCTAAAGGATCTGGAAGAACAATTGTCTGCATCCACTGTGACCCTTCTAACTGTCCTGAGCTCAGCTGTGGACCAAAATCAGAACTTGTAAGTGTCAGTTCTTTCCTCTAGCTCTGCAGGTGACTCCGAGTTTGTTATCAATGCAGTTACAGGCCTGCATTTTTCCCAGGCTAGCACTTCACTTCTTCAGCTACTTAAAAAAAAAAATATCTAATCAGACACTTGCTATAAAAACATACTTCCAATTGAAGATCAAATTGTTCTAGAAGCACATGAAGCATCAGACTCAAAGAATTTCAGCACAAGTGCCTAAAGTCTTCTTTGGGAATTAGTTACATGCCTAAATCTCCTTTAAGAGCTAGCAAAAGTTATGTTGCTAGGCTCCTCTTGGAACACTCTTTAGTACTTCTCAGGTTTTTTTTTGGAGGGGTTTTTTTGTTTTTTAAACCTGCTACATATTTGTACTGGGCAAAGATTAAGTACAAAGTGGATAGAGCAGGAGGGTGTGGAGAACATTAGTCAGTAGGCTTTCATAAGCTGACAGAAAGAGTAAAACTATCATTGTCATACAAAGTAATACAAGATTTTACAACCATTATGGGAAAACAGGGATCTGAATTAGCCTCTCACCTGATCTTCATTGCGCAGTGGCAGCAAAAAAATGCGTTATAAGCACATTTCCAAAGGCTGTGCTGGCAAGATGCCAGTCTCTCCTGTGTAACCCAGTTCTTGCTGCCAGATAGGAGGGGAAAATTGCAATAGCTGCTTTAACACAGCTGCCAAAACTTGAAACCCTGCACTGGCACAGTTTTCCAGTAGAATAGAATCCAGCACAGCCTTCGATCTCAGCTCCTTTTAGGTTGACAGCAGTCATGCTGCAGAGTCCAGCCCACAAAAGATGCCAGACTACAGTGGAAATGCTGTTTAAGGATTAACTCCACCTGCAAGTAAGTGCCACAAGCAATGCCAGTGGCAGCTGCACAAGGGTCTGAAAACTACAAGCTTCCCCCAAGGGGTACCCACAATGTGTCATCTATGTATCACAGGCCACTAGCACTGGTCCCTTACTGTTAAAGGCATGACCTCTTCTGAGGCACTTTAAAAAGTGTCAGAACTCTAAATAAAGATGTAAGTACAGACGGTTTGTACTGGCATATAAATGCCATTGGTTCTTCGCAGATATGGAGCATCTCTGGAGTAAAACATGACAAAAGAATCTGCAGTGCACCCAGATAAAGGGATATTTGAAGTACACATTCAAAACATACACGTGTGCAATATGTTTTCCATATACATATTTCTCTTTTTCAATAGAGAACAGAACTCCAGGTACTTAATATTCCACATGGGTGATATAAATAATATCTACATACACATCTTTTTGTCTTCACATCCAGACTTCACCCTAGAAGATCCCAGATATTGATCTAGGACTTTTTTTAAAAAAACCACAACCACATATACCTGACTCCAGAACATGGAAAGCACATGCACTAATACAGTTATGAGTCCCAGGAGCAAAGCAAAAACAGAAGTAGATGTCTGTTCAGTAGGCAGAACATTGATTAACTGCCATTTTTACATGGCTAGGAAAAGAAAACTACTTAAGAATTTTGACAAACACTTGGTAGCCTAACAGGTAAGTAGTACAGCAGAAGACCTGTTAACCCACTGATTCCAATCCAACCATTATACACCACACCTTGATTTCAAACTTCTCGTGGAGATTGGGTATAAAAATCTTTTCTTCCTCATCCCATGTCTGGCTGTCATCGGTCTCAATCTTGCCTTTCAACCTCCATTTTTGGCGCCCCAGTCGCACAAACACCTAGAAACCACGAAGAAAAAAGGATGTTGGGTCAACATATCCCAGAACGTTCCCTTCAGTCCATATGCCTCACACTGTTGCAGTACCACAGAGGCAAAGCCATTCCTTTGATCACTATACATTTAGGAACTTGGATAAAGCTAGAAGATTGGAGGCAGGAATTAAGGTTGCAGGTTTTAACACCTTAACTCAGTGCCAAATGACACATCCCACCCATTCTAGAAGAACTGCAGAACTATGTTGCACAGCAAGCGTAGCGATACTGAAATACAAGGCACACTGGAATTCATTTGGAACTGTTAGAAGTAGGAGAGCAATCCAGTAAGATACTAAGATGTATTCAAATCACGCCAAGGGCAATCTTCCAAGAAACAGGCAGCAACTGTTACTTGATTCCAGGGCAACTTTGAAGACAAAGACCTGACAGGTTGGTTCAATCACTGCCATCTTTTAAACCCTCCCATAACACTTGAATCACATCTTTCCCTCTTCAGTCTCAGAGGGCAGAGTAACTAGCGAGTGTGCCAAAGCACTGTTCTCATCAGAATAGTGCACGGTTTTATCATAGTCTGTTTCCTGCTCGCCTTCTACATGTTGCACCCTTGCTCTCCTGTTCCTCTACTGCAAACTCACAGCAGTAAAATAAAGGACAAAATGAATTGCTGTATACTGCACCTCATACTGGTCCCCCGGACAGAGACGTGCAAAGCCCACCAACCCTGAAAAGAGAAGGAAAACTCTAATACTTGTAGAGTTTTACAATGTCCCCCAAAGCCTCAGCTTGCAATAAATAAAGTGACTATCTGGTTAACACCCTCACATACTCAACTCTGTGCAGAAGCTATGCCACCAGCTCAAAACACTCTTGGAAGGACAAACTAACTGAGCTGAGGAAAGAAAGCTTGTCAGCTTTTGTACTCAACTCAAATACCATTGCAGATCTGTTTTACAGCACCGAAGAAAACAGAAGTTTGCCAAAATTCTGTTCAGGGTCTCATCCAGAAAGCCAGCGGAAGCAACTGACATCAAATAAATGGACTCTCAGTGGATCAGATTGCTACACAGGAAACCCAAAAATCAATTGGTGAGTCTTGAAGGAAACAAGAAAGGAACATACCTTTCATCTTCAAGTGAAACTCTCCCAAATGGACCTCCAATGCCCCTTCTATAAAGCACATGTCCTAGAAGGAAGACTGAACAGTCATTATGACTGAAAAGCAGCACTGAGTAGCTACCTTCCCATACGTGCCATTTTCTTTATAGGACTTTGGCTCTTTTTTGGTTTGGTTTTTTTTTTTTTTTAAAAAGGGACACACACTAACATTTTCACTAGCAGAGGCTGATACAGAGTCCATTCATACTACTTTTAAGATAGAAAATTGTGATGCCGCTCCACAGAAGAATGGAACTGCTCAAGCAGTTTCACTGTCAGTTACCTTCCACTGCTTGTTTTGTAAAAATAGCATAGCTTATTCATTATTCAATTCTCATCCCATTACTTCCAGTGGGAGTCATAATGGACCCCACTATTAAAGCAGAAATTCAAAGAATTTTTCACTTGTCTTCACGAATGCATGAAGCCAAGGTGAGTAGGGGCAAAAAAGGGGCACAGAATTCAAGAGCTTTGCCTGCAAGGCAAGCTTCTGTTCACATGTATTTCATTCACATGTGAAGTTTTTAAACCTGCACCATTAAAAAAGCCAGCAGCAAGTCCTAGTACATTTTTTGCTAAGGAACAGTCAGGTCTTCCTTATGTGTGTAGTATTTCCTACCTCTGTGCACTCTTGGAAGTTCTTGTAAAGCTCTACTAGGCTCTCTCTGGAGGCTTTGGTGGAAGGAGACAAGGAAAAGGCATGTTTCATATTAGTAGCCCCATCTCGTAGTCTGCACTGGATACAGTAAGCTTCATAGAGTTCTTCTACCTTTAAGATTTGGGGGGTGGGGTGGGGGGGTGGTGAGGGAAGAACGAACAAGAATTACCCTGGCATAATTTTAGTAAGTTTTGGAAAGGAACATCAGCAGTCTTTCCTGGCCAAAAAACCCAACCAAATCCCACTATCATAGTATTGCAGAATGCTACAACTCCTGCATTTTATAGGCTGATTGGAGTGCAACAGTTTGTAGACATTCCTGCAAAAAGCATGGGATATTGAGAAACAATTCGCTCTGCTATTATCAGACTAGAAGACAAGGACTAGTGTAACACTTTGTTCAGGGAAAAATTACTTGGGGAGCAGGAAACTGATTCCCTCAATACAGATTAGAACACCTACACCTAGACAGAGGAGATATTTCATTCCTTTGGAAGCAGATGGCAGACATGCACTCTACAGAACTGCCCCATTTGGTCCCTTGTGGGAAGGGGGGGAGAACATGTAAGTCTTCCCACAGCAGCATTTTCTGAATAAACTGGCCGAGTATGCAAACTGGTTTCACAGGCAAACTCAGGTTGTGTTGCACCCAACATTCAGCCTGAATAGAACCAGTCAAGAAGATACATACATAAAAATCCCCTCCTTCTGTAAAAAGAACAGTTACAGCTTTCAGAAAGTACCCAGCATTATTCCCCTTCAGATGAATTATAATCAAAGTATTCTATTTAGATATAGATTTATATAGCAGTGTAAGCCTGACATGTACAAGATATAAAACTCCTTACCTTGCTTATGTGAAACTCCAGTTTTCTGATGTATCTCTCCACAGAGCGAATTTGCTTTTGAAGAGGAGAGAGGGGAACTTGAGAAATTATTTCCTAAACATGCCTTTAAGTAACACAGTAGACACATCATCCATTTTTCTCTATTTGCAACATTTCGTCTCATCCTTAATAGTCTTACCTTATCCAGGTCATAGTAGAAAGCCTGAAAGAGGAATAGCACAGGCTGAACAGGATGGCATGTGTATTTGTACATATTAACAACACTTTCATATTTACTGCAAGACTCACTAGGCATATCTTAAGTTACACTAAATTAAGATGCATTGTTTACTATAAGGAGACAGTCCAACATTTAGAAGTAGTTTCATTTTCTGTGCATGATTGGTTGGTTTGTTTTTGCAGATGCTTGAAATAAGACAGTAAGAGTCTCACCACCAGCTATAACAAGGACTTGGACATTCGTCATGATACATGGGAGTTTCTGATTTTATTTTTTTTAATGTAGTATTATTTCCCAAATGAAAGGCAAAGTTGGATCTGCGAGTTGTCTCTTCATTAGCACTGTTGCTGAAGGTACCGCTAGGGAGTTGAGAACACAACAGAATCTAGGTTACAAGGACACATTCACCAACGATGGAAAAAAAAGCCCAATCTTTATCACCATTTCTGTCCATACAGAGTCAGGTACAAACACTGATCACTGAAGAGACACAAGGAGATGCCATCCCAGTAAAGGAACACAATCTGAAGAACACTGCTGGATATTGAAAATGAGAAATCCCAAGTTTAATTCTCACATCTAGAGCTAACTTGCTTGGTAAATTTCTGATTGTGATGCCTTGCTGGACTTCACCTCAATGCTTTAACTGGAAAACCCCTGGGAGTCCCAGGTGTGAGAGAGCATCTACTTTTGTGACTTGATTTTTAAAGTCACTTAAATATTTCACATTAAAAGCATCTTACCAATCTGGAGTTCCTTTTTGTATCTTTGTGTCGACCAGAGAGATAATCCAGTTCAGCCTGATGCGCTTCCAGGTATTCACTGGAGAAGAAGAAAACCCAGTGTTACATTCTTCTGGTACATTCATTGTAACACCTTTCCAAAGAATTTTTCAGCAGAATGTTACAAAACAACTTCCTTCTCTAGAAGACTTCTCTTGTTTTACTCTCTAGAGATGTGAATGGCTACATAGAGGAACATGGGTCAACAGATGAGAAAGGGTGGTTTTCATAGACAAACGTTTGTCCTAAATGCAAAGTCACTCCTAGAGGAGCATCTGTACGTATTGTGCCACTTGTGCCAGTGCCAGAAGATGCTGGTTACTGTTACCTAACATTTAAAGATGCTGTACATTAGGAATCCTCCTGAATCCTTTTACTCCTCCAAGATGTGGAATGCTACAGTGCAATTCAAGAAGGCCACCACTACTGTGTAAGGTATGTACACACTGCATTCAGACATTCACTATTTCTTGTTTCCTTTCATCTAAAATAGATAATTCAAGTGAAAGATTTATTCTAGGAATGTGAATCAAAACAAAACAAGACAGTAGAGCTGGAAGTACTACTAAAGGCAAGAGGAAAGGAGGGATGTAAGAGGAGAATAGCAAGTTCTAACACACACATAACCCAGCTCACAGATCTCATTTTCAGATTTCTCTAACTATTCCTGTTTGGCCTTCTGGAACCTTTTCTGTAAGGTGGAAGATCAGTTCATTTGTTGAGCAAGTCTCTTCTTACTGAAGAGTAAGAATTCATCAACCAACTCCATCTTACAAAGCCAAAGAATTGCAATATGAAACACTTGGCACTACAAAACCAAGCCCATAGAAGTACTCCACATGTAAGGTAGGGCACATGTCATTCAGTGTTTTAGCAAACAGAGCTGAATACCACCTTTTAGTATGCTAGACAGTTTCTTAATGTGACCATTACTTTTTCCAGAATGAGAACTTTTTGCAAGGTGTGAAGCACTTTGTGATAGTTGGCTTCTATAGAGTTGCTTGCATGCAAAGGTTGTCCCTTAAGAGTTCCCACAGGGCCTTAAACTATTTCTGCTGAGACCATCTTCTTCCAACTTTGCTTTTAATACAGAGCAGACTTAGGTAACTTTTTCCTCTGATGTTTAAAAGGGAACAAGAGTCACCTGGTAAATACTACATTATAAGACACTGTCTCTGAGCAGTCAAAATAACTTCATTTTAGACAGCTACACTTCTTCACATTTGTTTCAATGCACTTCATTTTCTTACTGTTACAAAACCAGTTCCCCCAAGACACCCAGTGGCTCCAGCATTCAGCTGTCTGCTCTTTACACTTGCCTATTAACAGCTCGGTGCAGAAGTAGCCAAGGCTGGTAGCAGAAAAGAGTTCACTTACCTTTCAGAACAGCTTCATCACTTTTAGATTTAAGTATGTTAGAATTGCCAGCTTGAGCACTTCATTTTCTTACTGTTACAAAACCAGTTCCCCCAAGACACCCAGTGGCTCCAGCATTCAGCTGTCTGCTCTTTACACTTGCCTATTAACAGCTCGGTGCAGAAGTAGCCAAGGCTGGTAGCAGAAAAGAGTTCACTTACCTTTCAGAACAGCTTCATCACTTTTAGATTTAAGTATGTTAGAATTGCCAGCTTGATGGAATGGTACCCAGATGGTTAACAGAATAAAGAGTTATTGGAATGGTACCCAGATGGTTAACAGAATAAAGAGTTATTTTCTATAGCTATAAAGAAACAGGCACGTAAAACATGTTCTGTACTAAAAATTCAAGTCACTCCAGCACCAAGTGGACTTAGTCTGCATCTACTTAAAATTTGGACTTTGCATTGCTATTTGATACAGTTGTTTTCTGTATGTTACTTTAGTCAATTAGTTAGCTACTCAGTTTTGGCAGGAGTGTGATCACATGGCATTCCCTGCAGAACTGGGAACAAATTCTGATCCACTTTACGGTTTCTCCTCCCTAAGCTCTTATAAATTCTAAACTCTGCAAAAACATTTGGTTTTGTTATTTGTTTTAAATCTAAATCCACTAATAAGACATTGACCAATATTTTTTAGGGCTAAAACTTTATAGTCTTTTATCAGAATAAAAATGTGACACGTCTGAGTTTAAAATATATTATTACAGTGCATTTATGTTCTTTGCTTAAGAAAACAAACTATGATCAGAATTAATACAGTACCAAAATTCTGAGGACAGCAGCAACATATGTGAAGGAACTGTTAGTTAGTAGGATGCCAGCAGAAAGAGCTACAGGGTTTACAAATCCAAGAAAAGGTATTTTATCTTCCGATAGTAGCTTCAGGGTGTAAATGAAGTTCCTGTGACTACACTAGACCCATCAATAGTAACAATTGGATATGTGTATTTTTATAAAATAAGATTTGAGGACTCAGTTAAAGGTTGATCAATTTCAACCACTGATGGAGGCAAACAGCACTTACCGCCACTTCCTTTCCTGTCTATAATACCAAGAAAGCAAGTTCTTCCATGCTCATGTTGGATGAACATTCAGCATTAGATAATATCAGCTTTCCTATGAGGTAACTGACAGCTTCCTCAAAGCCAGAACACCCTAAATTCAGATTGCCAGCCCACCCTTTGATCTCTATTATGTCTGCTGCATACACCCCACATCTGCCAGACGGAGACAAGGGACAAAATTGGTCTTTAAGCCTTTTCACTCCAGTCTGTACTGATGCAAGATTGACTGTGCAGTCAATGATAATAAAGAGCGTGTGAGAAAGCATGCGAGAAAGCCAACCCCACTAGAATATGTAACTCTAAGTGTTTTCTAATTAGCATAGGGAGGTTTATGGTTTATTAACCATAAGTGGTTTCTGAACCAGCCTCCCCACTGTGTCCTTGCAGGGCACACCCTTGCTTTCAGACTTGCTTTTAAGTCAGCTTTTTGAGTTAAAGCAAACTCCACACAGCTCTCTCTCCAGAAACTTTCTGCCAATCACCCCCAGGTCTGGCTGTCCCATCCCTATCCAAGTCTCTCCTCGATCTGCAAACTTCCTGCCTGCCACCCTGCATGCTCTGAAAGCCTCCCTTCCTCAAGAGAGCTCAGTTGCTCCCCACAAGATGGAGAACTCCCCACAGAGTTCTACCTGCCATTGACTTTAGAGAAGTGTAACAAACCAGGAACAAACAAAAACATCAGAGCACTTTGGTTGCAAGCAGACTGCCTGAGAGTGAATGAAACTTGTTTTACAAGGTCCCAAGCCAGTGTCTGGGAAGTCACTACATATGTTTAGAGATGCCAGATGGAGACAGAGAACAACGATACACAGACTTAAGCAGCATGACTAGGTAAGGCAAATTACAATATTTAAAAAGTCCTTACTTAAGTCCTTTCTTCAAAGCTTCAAAAATTTTCTTCACCTGCAGTGGCTTTGGATCCCAGATGACTGCACCCTTCTGCAGGGAATTATAAGCCTTGGGGGATTTCCGTGACATTCTTGATCTCACTGAACTTCTGCTGAGAGACTTTCTGTAGCGAGAGAAAAGAAATATGGGAAAGATGCACAACCCATCACCACATGTAACCCACAAAGCTTCTAGTTATATGTCCAATCCCATATACCCATATCTCAAAAGAACAAAGCTCTTGGACACACCAAGAATACTTTCACAGACAACATCAGAAAGTTAAGGTTTTTTGTGACTTCAACAATAATAATTTCAATAAGAAACATCTTCAAGCTTGATGCAGAATCTGAGAAGCCTAGTGGTTCACTTTTATCCTTTTTAAATAAAGAAAAATTGTGCAGGTCCATTTCTTTGGGAAGGGGGGGGCACCGAGCAAGAAAGAGAACAGCTCAATTTTTATAACAGGTTAATAACAAGGTAATGTTCATACTGCTAGCAATTGTCTTAACAGACATACATGGCATCTAGCTAAGGCCCTGTTTCTGTGTGCATATTCACACCAGTTGTTGGGCCAACTACAGAACTAGTCAAGTAAGCCATGCTGCAAGACAAGGACATTCTGACTCTCACCTCCAATTCAGGAAAACAAGACAACAAGCTTTTAATCTGCTCAAGATCTAACTGATAAAGCTAACATAAAAAGCCTTTAGAAATAGCTATTTCTCTGCCTGCATTCACCATCCATTTAAATGATGGCTTAGAGCTCTACCATGTTTTAGAAAAGCAAGCTACCAAGCCTAGATTGCATACAAGATATAATTATCAGGTTGTTTTTTCAGCATCTAACACCTCACTTACTTTTAAAAGCAACTGCAAAACCCAAATTAAATATTGTTTCTAACAGAAGTCCCACACACAGGACTTTTTGTGCTAACCTAAATAGTTAGAACAGCCCGAGCCATTAGTTATATACAACATTTAAGACAGAAAATGAGCTCTCTGCAAATAGTTCTTTCACATTGTCAGATTCCTGCCTGGCTTACCTCTATCTATATACTCCTCTAAGTCTTACTTATTTTTATATAGTTTTGTCAATACTCTAAACTTGTCAACCTCTAAAATAACATTATCTAAAGAAGTTTCCCATTCCACCAAGCCAAGCCAACCAATTGCTCTCAGAGAAGCTTTCCACTTTCTCTACAATCTCTAGCCTCGATCCAGCTCACCTGGAGAAATGATGAACTTCAACAGGCCTGTAATAGTCAACAGGCATGTAGCCACTGGCTCTTTTAAGTTCTAGGCATGTGACTGAAGGCCTAAGGAGATTATTAGTGATTAAATCCTAGGCCCAGCACACCTGAGAGCTGTCCCCAGTCCCATTATAGAAACCTTCAAGTAACTACTTTAATTATCCTGGTGCTAATTTTCCACTTAACTCCATTTTTTAACATATAATCTGCAAAAAATCTGATAAAATTAGGTGTTGCCAAACATTACTGGATATTTAATTTCTTCACCCCAATGATTATCTTAGTTTTTTATGATGGCTTAATGTAAAGTATTAATTAACCAAACCATTTGGAGCTCAGGTTACCTGTAACAAGGAACATAACTGTTAAATTAGAAACTTACATTACTATTGTTTTCTTTTTGGAAAGGAAAAGACTTTGATATTTACCTTCAAAGTTTTGGACTGCAAATCCTAAATTCAGGAAATAATTTCCCTTCAGTTAAAGTATAGCATCTAAGCACTGCATACGGATCGGTTGCGATTTAAAACTCACCGTTTTCCTCAGTATCTCCTCCTGACTGATGTAGCCCATACGTACTCAGTTCACTGATGTTAAGAATCCCACCTTCATACATTTCATAGAAAAGTTAAGTGGCTGATGTGGGCCTTTAGGGACAGTAGCTAAAAGCTAAATGCTATGTTGCTGCTTTCCCTTGTGAACGTAACAATTTAAGTATCAGATTTCCCACTTTATAGATAACAGTAATAATATTTACTTCCTGTGGGGACCACTGTGAGGAAAAATGAAATAGTGTGTCTGACTGAGAGCCTCAAAAGGAAGTTGCTAAAGAAATGCAAAAGTATATTTAGCATCTGCTTAAGAATCTCCATGTGGACCTGATTTGTGTGTCATCCTTTGGATAGACCTTGCATAGGGCCCCTGCAATCTCCTGCTGTGTTTTGCAACAGTGCCTGAGGGAGAGAAAAGTTAGGAAAGGGTGATTAAAAAATTTCTTCACTATGCTGGAGAAGGCTCTTGGGTGTTCACTGGGCTGTGACTGAGTATCTAGTACGCAAATTTTCCTTATTGCGGTGATTCCTGAATGAAACTGTCTGTCTGAACACTTAAATAATGAAAAGCAATATCATAAAAAATGCATAAAGAGAGGCATTTGGTTAGAAAACCCTTGCAGCTAAAAGTAACAGAATAATCTTAAGGGATACATGAACTCTTCTGTTTGGAGCATTCTTACCCTGCTGGACTGTGCCTTTCTTGGAGAAACAGCTTTTCAACACTTTTCCTGGTAGATCCTTTCCCTGCTAGAACTTCCACTATATATTATATAAATATACATAATTTATATAAACTTCTGTTAATTAATTTATTGACAGTGTTTTTCTCAAGATCTTAGTGATTGGTGTGATTTTACATGTCCTATCTTTGCTAGGTGTAATATTATTTTTCAGCTTCCACAACAAATTCATTTATTCAAATGTGAAGACTTCTTGATTACATCACAATCATGCTGGAATTTCATTTTTGCTTATACTTTACCATGCTGTGTTCAACTAAAAGGTTAATTCAGTCATTTGGTTCTTTGAAAATATATTTTATGATGGTCAGGTATTTTACTGATACACAATAGGATTTTTTTGAGTACGATACTTTTAGAGGCATACTTTCCCATACTTCTATATGATACTGCTAAATGATTCACTTTGTTATTATTCTAGCATGCATTGGCAGTCAGAGATTATATTAATTTTCCATTTATATATCATATCTGCTAAAAGCACTCGACAGGCTATACAGGGATCACTAAATTCAGAAAAAGAACAAGAGCACTTCTAGTGGAAAAGCTGCACAGTTATCTACACAGAGCAATGCTACACAACAATTGATGATAAGCAAAAAGGGAAAAACAGTGCAGGATGGTTTAGCAATTACGGGGCTTGACTGAAGACTGGACTGCAGCCTTAGCTATACTATAGACCTGTTACTGATAGCAGCAAATTTGCAGTGGCCTTCTTGGCCTCTTTGTATTCCTCCCTTTCCCTCGTTTCTGGCATTGCCAGAAAGCAGCCCTCCTCTCATATAATGCTGCTCTGCTTAAATAACACCAGGAGAACTTGAGTTGGGTTCAGTTACATATTTTGCCAGGATTCATCATTAACATTTTTAAAGGTCTATGAGACCTTTTTAAAGCTCCATGAGATTTTTAATTACCATAACTATTCAGAAGGTTTTAGTCAGAGAACATCAGTTACTACTAGGCTGCTAGCAGGAAGGGTCGCAGCCCTTCATTTTTCTAGAAGAAATGGACACTATTAACACTATTAACAGCCTGATACATAACCTCTGAAATCCAGCCATCTCTGAAGTACAGTGTGTATACTAGTAAGACAGTATGGTGTGAAGTATAGCTATTTATCAGTGAACCACGACAGCACTCAATAGTTTTAAGATAAAAATTAAGGAACAACTTCTACACACAGATGCCTTAGGTTAAAAAATACATTCACGGTACCTAATGTCTGTTGCCCAAATGACCAGGTGCTTTTCTTTTTGTGTACTTACGCTAGTTTTCTGCTTTGCACAGTGCTGAATCCAGTGAAGGAACAACTCCTGCTGATACCACCCCCGTCACCAGGAGAGACAAATGTGAGCTTGACCGACATGATTGCCAGTCAGGAAGTCTACCGGCTTCTGAAATAAACAGAAAAACAGATGAGTCAAAACCTTCTTGGCAGTTCAGGCTTAGACCTGTGCTGCTGCAAGTGCTGAGCTGCATGAAAGTGGAAAGTTAGAACAACAGACAGTAGATTAAATAGAAAAAAAAGACTTGTCTGCTATACACGTTTCCTCTGTTGCCATCCACAATACAATTAATAAGGGATTGAATAGTCTAAAATGAAATCTCTCATGCCCTCTTCAATTTCTGATTGATTTTACAAACTCACTATGTAAAAGCCAGAATAGCCTCAATTCACAGACTCTCTACATTTCTGATTTTTTAAAAACCCTGTAATTGTCCCACTGCTTAAGGAGTTCAGGCCAACCGGTGTATTTCCAAATCAGTATGGATGCCAGAACAATACTTAAGCTCCAGACTTAGCGAGGTCCAAAAAGCAGTTCCTTGCATCTGTGCAGAGCCACACTGAAGTCAATGGCAGAATTGGCTGAGTGTGGTACTTAAGCCCAAGGCAGAAGTAGTTTCAACAGTAAATTTCAGGTTCAGGCTCCTCCTCTGGCAGGATTTCTCTTGGATTGCTCTCTTCTGTTTTCCATCAGTCAAACTCCTTTGCTTTCTGGAGAATTGTGTTCTCTGCCATATGTCTATAGAGTCCAAGTTACAATATAAGTAACAGACATATCCTTCAAAGCAGCTGTAGAAAATCACCCAGACAGTTAATATACAGAAAAATTCCCTTCCTTCCCCCCTCAAGCTGCTGTAATGTAAACACCACAACTGAGTAAAACTGAGTAAAACAAAAAGCTGGAGTATCTATTTGTAGAGAGAAGTGCAAACTCCAGTAAAGAGCTCTACATGGAGATGCTCCATGCAAAAGTTTGTCCTACATTACAGAATGTGCTCTGAAGAACAGTGAGCTCTTAATCTGTCAGAGTAGATACTGGAAAGAAACATCCACACTCAACCCCTATGCCTGACATTATCCCACCAGCATGGCTACAATTAGTCAGACTAGAAGCCCAGAAATGTCAGGATAAGACTCTTTTCCTGGCTCTGCCACTAACTTGGAGAGCAACCTAACTCAATGCTCTTCCAGACTGCATATAAAGAACTGAATGGTTAAACTATACTTCCCAAGAGGGGTGAGATTTGAGAGTGTTTTGCTAATTCTGGGCTAGTCTACAAGTACAGGGAATTACTGTAAGTGACTATGCTTTAGGTATCATTATCTACTAAAGCAGTAACAAAAGTTGTCATGGATTTCCACAAGCAGAGATCCTGCAGTGAGACCTGACTATTTCATTAGAAGCCGCTCCGTCAGATCCCTGGGCTGAGGTCTAAGACTCCCATTTCTTTGTCTGTTCTACAGGCTGTACCAAGCTCATGAATAAATCTGTGAAAAACAGGCAAAAAATTTTAGAACAAGATGTGAAAATGATGAATTTGAGCCAAACAGCTACCTGCTTTGCAAGCTACATAGTTTGTCAAAAGAGGTGTTGGGCATGGCTAGGTATTTTGTATCTCAGTGCATCGAAGTCCACATGACTCCATAGCTTCAGTAGTATCAATAGAAATCTGTTACATGGAAAAATCTAGGTGCATCTTAATCACCTTTTAATCAAACTGTACAGCACTTACGTTCTCTTGCTTTGAAAGGACGCCTCCTTAACACCCTTAATCAGAGATCGTACTTGCATCACATCACAGATGAAGTTTCAAAATATTTTCCATTCTTTCCTCTAGTTTTCAGATGCTTATAAGTCTGTGAACAGTCACCCCATCAAAAGGATCATTAGGCTGAAAAAACCATGCAACTTACTGAAAAAAGTAATTGCATAACAAGCTGTTAAAGGAAGAAATAAAAGGAATAGCCTCATGGTTATTGACCACACCCCTCATCAAGGCTAAGTCAGATTCCCAGGATCTATTCTTTAGCTCTCTAACTTGGGAAAGTTAGTTCATGAGTAAAAGGGAGGAAGAAAGTGCAGGAAAAGCTTGTCTAATTTTATAGGACTCCTAAAGCCTGCATAGCATGAGACTGAAAGCCTTTGAAGCATATCGATATGAAACAAACAAAAACAGGCAGACCCTTGACAGGGAACAGAAAGTGGAAAATTATGAGAAGACTCCCAAAGTAAAAATCTGTGGTACTGAACTGTGAAGAATTAAGTTGGAAATGTACAGCCCCCCAAAACTCAGCTGGTGAAAGAAATAAACTGCTTAAATTGCCTAGACTCGATTCTCGAGTTGCCACGTTTTTTTATAAATCAAATATAATTCTGGACTTCAAGAAGATACACTGTTGCAAATTAGTAGAAATGAGAGATGAATTGGACCTCACTTGCGCACAGCCATAAGCATTTAAGAATTCTCATGGGTTGTTTGTTTTTTTTAACTGCACAAAGCTCAGTCCTCAAGGCCACTGACCGTGTCATGTTCTGCTGTAACATGTAGCTACATTCAAAAGCAATTCACCAGCACATTTTCACAGTTCCCTCTTATAAGAATGAAGAGAATTTAAATAATGCTAGGAAAGCACCATTAAAGGGGTTATCTTTCTTACTTTGAAATGTCGACAAAGTCAAATACCACTTGGTACACACCTGCATATATATTTTTTGTAGCGACCTAGAAATTTTACAGCTCATTTCACACTTCTGAGTAGAAGATCGTAAGTAGGATGTCAAGACAACATTTTCATTTGTAAGAAAGATTTATAAATGCAGTTGTTTAAACAGAGGGTTTTGCTAGCCAGAGTGTCTGTATACAAGTGCTGAGCTACATTACAACTGCCCCTGAGAAAAAGCATCTGGACACATCTTAAATTCAACCCTCCCTTTAGGCTAGAAATAAATCAGATAAGGACAAAGGACCCCCGACAAAGCTGAGTTCAAATCTGTCTTCCAACCTGTAACCTCTGCTGTGTAGGCCAATGTCTCCAAATCTCATAAATACAGGGATTATACCCTGGGGAGCAGAGGAACTTCCTCTCTTCTAATCTTCCCAAAAAGCACAGAATGTGAATACAGTAGCTAGCTAGGGCATAGGTAGAGTGCAAAAATATCAGGCCAAACTGAAGGAGTCTATTGCCAGGGGCAATAGAAACACTGAACTACTGGAAAAAACAAGTCTTGAAAAAGTCTTATAAAGCTTGTGAGTCTTAAACAGACCTCCACCCTGCCAGGCACTAAAATTGACTCAAACACCTTAATACATGCAATTTTGTAAGATTGAGACTTCAGGTCTAAGTAATGTATTTTTAATATAAATCAAAAGAGTATTTTTTTCAAATTAAAGGAGTATGTTTGTTTGCCCCTGTTTCAATGATTTGCCATAATAGACTATTAGCATTTAACCTTCAGTGTTACCAAGTATCCAGGCATGTAGGGCCAAACATTTGAGCTTCTATGCAGCAGTGAGTACACTCAAACTGCATGTTCTGCTTTGTTTCTCTTAGTATTAGGATATTCCTCAAGTCAAATGACCTTCATCCTCTACAAATTAAAAACTGGTGTCTGTTTGTGTTTATGGCTAAACTTTTCCAGCCCTAGTCACATATTTAATTGTTTCTGGGCACAATGGTTTCAACAATTTTATGAGGAAAATATGACTCACTGACTTCTTGCAAAATATTTCTGCTTGTGTTTTGTATTTTAAATTAGTAGCCATGTTTTTCTTTTAATATCTCCAAGAGGTTCAGTTGAACTTGGTGAACTGTTGCTAGAGCAAGGTATTCATGTTTCCTTAAAATATATAGTGTTCCAATTGTGAATGACCGGTTGGTTAAGAGACACGCATTTGCTCCTAGTTGTGTGTCTGCAAAAACTGTACCAGACTTCTGTTTCCTTCAGCTAATTGTGGACACACACATTGAGTTGATAGCCTAGGCAACAAGAGGCTACATATCTCACTAGTACATCAGTACCCGCTGTTCACTGGCTTCAGCAAGCAGCAGCTGCCTAACAAAATAAAAGCCAGTTTGAAATCAAGTAAATTATTAGTCACTATAGAAAATAAACACAATGACTGAACACAAACTATCAAATGTCAATCACTTCAATGTCTTAGGATCATGTTTGTGATTCTGGATACATTACGTGATCATGACAATTTGTCTTACACCGCCTGATGCTAACTTTCTCCTTACATTTTTAGACTATTGTTATTATTTTTATATGAAATTTTATTTGTAAATATTACATTAGCTTTACTTGGAAGGACAGTAGAGCCATTCTATCTTCTAGTTGTGGAAACAGAACAGAGTTGATTTCATTTTGTTGATTTTCATTCACAACATAATCCTTTTCTCAGTATCCGATGTGCTCAACATTTTATTGGAGGGACTGCAGCCTTGACCCTAAAATATGTGGCTTATATTTGTGCCTATATGGAGAATTCTCTTAGTAAGTGGATTTCTGCATAGCATAGTACATAGATTTTATTGTAGGGTTGCCACCTAGAATCTATGTCTTTTTAGAGCATGGCTTTATAAAATTCATTTCAGCTCCGTGACAGCCAAACAAATTTGCCATTAATGTGTATTGGTTTTATACCATTTCTACTGAAACTCAATTTTCACTGTACGTAACCAAAATCAGTAGTGATTAAGTAGATGAACATTTAGGGACTTTAGAGACATTAGGACTTACTCTAGAAATGATATGTGATTCCAAACAATCATCTGCTGTTTCAAAAAAAACTTCAGTCAACGGTGCTAAGTTAGTCATTCCACTTCCCTGAATTTATTATAAACTCCACCACAATTACTGTTTTGTTGCTATAATTGCATCTGTATTAGGGTTTTAGCTGATAGAAATATATATTGCAAACACTTAATAGGTGAAAAGACAACCCTAACATAATGACACCAAAAAATTTCTAGCATAAGTCAAATTTAAGACTGATTTTGCAAACTGGGCTACATTTGTCTACCATCACATTGATGTAATCACAATTATTTTTCTTCCTCTTATTTATTTCAAAACTCGGGAACAATGGAATTAACTAACACTTCTGAATGCTTATGATGGGTGGTATCCATTTCAAAACATTTGCGGCAGACAATGGCGTTTGAGTCTTCCATGACACTGATAAAGAAAAAAAAAAATCAGATTGCCACAATGTATTACAATACTGTCAAACATTTTGAACAAAGTCTTAGGGCTGATCTGGGCCTGAACCACTGAAGCTTTTTGTGATTTCAATGTACCATGGAACAGGCTGGAAATTTCTAGACCTTGGCACTTACTTCACAGCATTGGACATCTAAAGAATCCAGACCATTAAAATTAATGAAACTCCTGAGACGTGATAACATCATGACTCAGCCCTAATTACTCTAAAGGTAGACGTAATGAAGACTGACTGAAGAAAGACTGAAGTGACCATCTTGTGTACAGCACAGTGTTGAATCCACTGGGAAAATACATGCTATATTTAATCTTTGCTCTCGAGCATTCTTTAGAAAAACCATTGACCTCAGTAGCAATGTCTACTTTGCTAGATAAACATTCCAAATTTATGATTAAAACCCCTTAAATTTTAAGCATTTTTGTTCAATTGTTAGACAAACATTCTATTTATACAGTTATTGGCAGAACTAAGAAAAATTTCTCTGGTTATTTTTCTACAGATGAAAAGTCATTTGAATTAGGGAGACAGAAAGTGCCCTTGATGCTACATATCAATATAGCTATTTTAACACAGCATTACAGTCATATAGGGATCCTTTCTTCAGATAAATCCTTTCCACAGAAAGGATTCACAGCACAAGGATTCACAGCAGAATCTGAAAAGGTTATATGTAATTCACTTTAACATAGGAATTCTGACTTGTGGATATCATTTATCTAGAACTGGTCTCTCACACCAACACATATAACCTGTAACTAGTCCAACACACAGACAGGGGAAGAGCCACTGCAGTTACAGATATGGAAAATGAATGTTTGATATTTTGTTATTATATGGTAAAACAGATTTGCAAAAATGGAGGTAATAGAGACAAATAGCTGCCTGTGATGAGCTTTTGAAAATTTTCCCCTTAGTACTTTTAGCACCCGTCTCTGAAGCACTAAGAGGTAAATTTTGCTTCTCCCTTGCACTTTTCCTGCTCTCCCATCTCACCCCTACTCATCTCTTTCTCCCCCCTGGTTCCTATAATGGGAATAAAACAATGTAGACAGCTGAACTTGTTCAGCCTTCTTTGCAGAAAAATGCAGTCCATGCAGGGAATCATCTTCTACCAAAGAGGTATGTTTAGCTACAGGGCTGTAAAGTCCACTGGATATAGCTGTACAGAGCCATGAACAATCATTCTCCCACTCATATTCACCAGACATTTCTGCTGTTTTAAGACTGAGCACTGTGAGCAATTACAAGCAATTTTGCTGCAAGTGGAAGATTTTGCTTCTCTACATAGCTGCACATGTGTTCCACAGAACTTCTTGGCCTAAACCTGTTTAACTCAGATTATTAGACAGGCCCTTTACTTTGCACCAAACTTACCTCTGTTGGGTTGTATTTTGAAAAGCTCAAATGATTCAGGAATGTAATCCCGTTCTCAAAAGTAATTTAGGGTCTTAGGAGCTAGTTCAATTGATTTTTAATAAGAATTACATTCATAGCTTACATTATTTAGAAAGATGGGGCTTCAGTGTGTAACTCATTTTGGTACTTTTGCAAATTTTATCTAGGAAGATTCAACTCATAATATATATTTAAATACTGCATATCTGACATACTTTCCTCCTAGCCGTATTCAAGCCATAAAAAGAAAATCAGATAAACGGCTTTGATCTTGCTTCACTCATTAGGCCCTTCTATAGCTTTATGCCGGCTTCTGGAAATTAAGTTCTGGAGTCCAGGCTTCCTATGCAGCAATAAATTTAAACATCATAAGCAGTCCCCTCAGATAGTTTCTCCTGTGCTGGAGGTAGCGCCTCTGATGTAACCATTTCTAGTGTAGTTCTTTGAACACAGGACTCAACTTTCAAGTCCAAGATGACCTGTTTTTCAAGCCTGTGATTCAAAATGTTACTGTATTTCTAATTAGTTTTCACCTAAGCATACAGATCCAAGTTCTATTCTCAGTGACACTGGTGCACATCCAGAGGAAATTAATCAGTCATTTATTCCAGATTTCCAGTAGAATCCCAGCAGCAAATGTTGGCCTGCACTTAGTTAATGACCTGGAAACTATTTTTCAAGACATAATTTTGTGGTCAATTTTGTACCTCCCTCTAGTGGCAGCAGATATCAAACAAATGAAGCACAAAGGAGACCTTGTCACGGATCACACACTGATGTATTGTGCCTATTTCTTTCATGGAAATTTGTTACTCGGAATCAAGGTTGGCTGTAAATCCCCCTGTAACTTTTTGGTAATGTTGTAAGAAGAAAAGAATCAGTGATTGCACATAACCAAAATGCCTGTTTACTTCCTTTGCCAATATGTGGCATATTCATATAGCCACACGACGTTTGTCCATGCTTGCCTAGATCATAGCTCTTCTACTTGCTGTGACTACTTTTGCACTGAGTTGTGCTTTCCTCTTCAGGTGAAGGCACAAAACAATTCACCCATTATCAGCTGATTTATGAGGACAGGGCTTGCTGCTAGCTCCTCTGGTTTCAATTTCAAACTTGATGACAAACTTGCAAGCCTGAATCAGAGATTCAGGAATGTGGCAGGCTCCACACGCTAGCCTGACTTGCAGCTTTTTCAACTTTGGCAGAATTTGAGTCTGCAGTTAGCTACATTATAATGAATACTTAAAAACAAATTCCTAACAAGAGAAGAAGCAGATGGCACTGAGGGAGAGCAATTCACAAGTGATGAACAGGCTCTTCCATTTCTGACAAAGGAAAATTTCCCTAGTGGCAAGGCACTGAATCCTACCAATTCTGTCCTTGAGAGGTTCCTCCTTCTTAATTAGGAACCCCAAGGAACAGTCTTCCGTAATACATATCTCATTCTCCTTGTTTTCCCCAATCTACGCCTGAATGTATGTTACAGATAGACTTATCAGGTACGATCATGTCTCCATCCATCGGCTAATGCAGGAGCCTCCTGAAAGCCTATTTCCAGGTCAATTATGAAATAAGGAAGGTCCTTTATCTCAGCCATAGGGTTGTGGAAAGTCCCAAGTCTAAGCTTCAATAGAAACTACCACGATGGATAGATATACATTTTGATTATTACACTGAGAAGAATATATTAACCAAATCAGATGACAAACTTGCAGTAATAGTGAAATTTGATGTTCAACAGTATGTGGGACGTATTTTGATACCTTCAAAAACTGAAATCTGTGAATCACAATATACCGGTATGTGTCCTGGGGCATGCTTCTGAAGTGGGAGAAACTATCAGTCATTTAGCTGTCTGATCAAGAAAATTGTCCCTTTATTAAGAATTAAACCATTAAGACATCTTCCTATGGCAACCATGTTTCTTTCCCATAAATGTTACCAAGACAATCTTGTGCCACAGAAATAATGAAGTTGCTAAGTTAGGATCAGTATCCCAAAGAACACTGGAAAAAGAGGAAAAGTATACAAAATGTCATAGAAGAGGCAAATAGGAGAGAGAAAAGGTTTATGTTTTAAAGCAAAGTATTTTCTTTAATGCTGAGTAGACATAGACTTAGTTTTTTCAAAGTCAGTATTTCCACTACTGATTAGTGAATCTCGGTACCTATCTTAAGATAATGAAAAAGTGTGTATTTTTTAGAAAGAGACATCAAAATCAAGACAATTTAGAATGTCTCTCATTGGCCAGCTAACAGCCGAAGCATCAAAAAATTATTTGGCGTGTTTGAACATTTTATCTAGGCTGAATTTACTCAGTATCTTCTAACACAGGCTTGAACTCATTATATTTTCTAACAAATTAGGGTAGCTGTCATAGCAAACCTAACACTGTGTTCTGTACTAATGTTCCCTTTCTGTACACACTCCACAAGCATGTAAACTTCACTTGTGGAAAAAACCAAGAACCTCTGAATATATGTGGATATATCTGTACTTTCCCCTTCATTTCTTACCAATTCCTAATACATATGCGCTGACATTCATGGCCCACATTTTTTATGCTGTTATTCTCTGCTTTTATTTGGTTTGGGTTTGTTTTTAATGAGGTGAACTTTGCACAGCCCAACTCTAGCTCCTATAAAATCTGTGTCTTAAATGGCCAGATTTAGTGATTTTTTGACTGGAAAAAAAAAAAGGCCTACATACTAACCACACAGCTGTACTTGGAAACAGATGTTTTACCCCCTTTAAACTGAACTAATGAGGACAGGAATATGGAACAGATAGGTCAGGAAAACTTCTGTCTAGATTTTGAATTGTGGAAAGAGTACAGAAAAGACTGGTCCTTCCACATAAGGGGAGGGGAGAAGGATGGTAAGACCACTGATGATGAACATTCGCACTGCTATGCTAGCTTCAAGGCACTTCCACTTCACAGCCCTGTTCATCCCAATGCCAGTTCTATCCACTTAACTCACTCAAGTATCCCATAGAGAGCAGGCCAGATCCTCAGTTTATATCAACTGCCGTAACTCTATTCAAATCAATCTATTTACAGAAGTCCAGGATTTGGCTCTGTGTCTCCTTTGCATTTAGCAGGTGTGAAAGGACTCTAAATCACTTCTTTCAAGACTTCTGTAAAACATAAAGTAGACCAATTATTTAGGATCAGATGCTGTGAAAACTGTAACTTCTGATAGAAATCTGACTAAACATGAAAATTTTTTAAACTAACTCTGCCCATCAGTGTGTTCTTAAGTGATTTTTGAATGGAAAAGTGTCTTCTGCTGTTAGTTCAGAAATAGATAAGGTTTTTAGAACCGTCTCTTCTCTGCCCAATCTTGCTCCCATCAAAGTCACTGGGAGCACTGCCATAACTTCAGAGAGAGGACGAACAAGACCTTTGTAGTCATGATTTGGCACTCACACTGGAAAAATGCATTAGTGATCGGCTTTCTATAGAAAAGATGCATCAGGTTTTCCCTCTGGTTCCTAGCTTAAGCTTCTTTAAAAAGTTATTCTTGATTTGTCTTTATATGCTCTTCATCAGTACGCTCCCTTGCAGTGTAGAGCGGGTCCCTTGCACTAAGCCACAGCAACAAAAAAGAATCTTCTGCTGTATAAGGCTTTGTGAGACACAGTCATTACATGCAGAGGAAACTGGGTTCAATGGGGCCCTAGTTCCCCTGGGGACTACCATAATATAAATTATTAATAATAAAAATAAACATTGGCTAGCTTGAACTTCTCTTCATCCCCTTAGAGCTTATTTTTGTGATGGAATTAGCTAAATAAAGCCCACTTGAAAGAATGCTTAATTGCAAACTATCCAAACAAAACAAAATGGAACTAATTGGTTCTTAAATACTAAACATTCAAAAGGAGATGGCTTTGGAAACAGCTGAAAGACTAATGTATATTAGGATACATATGGTGAAGCGAGCAATTAAGCAAAATGCAGTCTAAACCGACTACATTTACTTTTAAACCAGATATTCAAGTTTTGTCAGTCTGGTTCTGCCTAGAAGACAGCTTTGGATTATTTCAAGCCTAAAGAGAATTACAGCAATACACTTTTGAAAATTATAAAATCAGAAGAGTGAAACTTGTGTACTGACTTCCGGACATAGTTTGCCCAGGAAAGACTACAAAATCTACAATGATCATTACTCCATGGAGTGCCCCTTAAACCTATTTCAGCCTAAAAAAGATAGCTTAGCAAAGAGTACTGTTTCAAGTGTTTTTTCTAAAGCAGTTATTTTCCTGGAAGTTGCGTAGGGAGAGCTCACATAAACAGTTCTGACAACACATCTCTAAAGGAGAGTGGTGACACCTTCCATCAGAATAACTGATTGCAGATCTGCCTTGGCCTTTATAAACTCCCTTTCTTCAGCCCTATGTTTTTGTTACTGCTATTTAATTCAAATATTTCACAGTCAGCAAATAGAAAGAATCTGTTTGGGCATGTGAAAACTCCCTTTTGATATTCATTAGGTTAATAATATGTTGCCACACATTTCTTAAATCAGAAGTATTTCTAGCAAGACTAGAAACTGATATCTCTAAAGTGACTGAAATTTGTAAACAAGAAAAAAAATTTCTACATTAGAAAGGAGCAAAAAGTAGGTAAGTGATATTCATTAAAGTTTAATAATGTTGCCACACATTTCTTAAATCAGAAGTATTTCTAGCAAGACTAGAAACTGATATCTCTAAAGTGACTGAAATTTGTAAACAAGAAAAAAAATTTCTACATTAGAAAGGAGCAAAAAGTAGGTAAGTTATAACCAAAATCATACAGTAAAAATAATTTTAAAAATTAATTAGTGGTAGAAGAGTTTTTCTTTGGAGAACCACTGTGTGCTGTGACATGAAGTCAGACTAGTGGTAAGCCATTGAAAGTGCACTGCCTAATCAGCCACATGTTTACTTTCCCACTTATCAATAATTGACATTAACAAGACTTCTGCCAGAGATAACAAATTCCTGGAAATGTCAGGCTCTTCTACATCACCCAGCCCAAGCACAAGAGAGCTACTCACTGGAAAAAAAAAAGGCAGACATAACTGGAAGTGCTAAGCAGAAGTTGCTCAGTAGCAGGATCAGTTGAGATCAAACCACTTCAACATTTAGGCCAAAAGCTAATCGAATTTTAAGATCCCTTGAAATCTTATGAATATCATCAATAAACACAGCAAGAGTCACTCATGAAAATGCCTTTCAGTTTTGTGCACAAAAAAATCAATCAGCTCTCTTGTCTCAAACTTCTTCAAAGACTGTGAACCCAATTGTTTGTTCCCTGAGGACTCAAAGCTTTTACTGCAACTAGCAGTCACATCTGCTTAGTGTTTCATATTTTTCAGCATCACAAGGAGTTTTTCTTAGACCTTGGATTGCTTTACTCAGCATCTATGTGTAAGTACAACAACAAAACTCCAACAGAAGAGATAACTGAGGTCTTCTGCCAGTTTGTTTCTACCTCTCTCCCCAAAAGACACAGGCAATCCTGGCAAAAGGAGTATTCTATACGAGTATTTTGCCAACATAGCTAAATCTTTACGGGTTTCATTTTTTAACATTCCTCTTAACGCTCACAGCTATGCCAGAAACTTTGTAACACAGATCCATACAGTTACACAAGAAAGCTTTGTTGTTTTAATACATCTAGTATAGTTTTGAAAGGTATTAGTAGTCTGCAGATAATGTAAAAAAATCCTTCGATGTGAACACCTTCTGTGTATCTATACTACCAGCACCTCACTGCTATCAGAATATCGGTGTTATTTACTACAAAAGTTCTCCTACAATGAATGGAGCAACTCAGCAAGCCTGTGCTTTCTATCAGCATAGTTAAAACTACCCCTCAGACTTAAAACAATTAGTACTAACACATGCACAAGTTTACGGTGCACTATAACTGCTTCTATACTTGCATCTTTTGCTAATTCAGCCATGTTGGTAAAAGATACCATTTTTCACAGTCCTTACCCAATTTAGCTGAGGGCAGGAATCTGTAATATAGACAGGGATTTAACAGTTGTAGGGAGGGGCTTATTACTTGTCTTTAGATACTACAAGGACTTTGCTAGTACAGATGTACTGCTATAAAGCATCAGGGAAAAGAATAAATTGTATTAGCATATATCACTGCCATAACAATACAGCTGCAGAAGCTTTTAATATCGTATGGCTATATCATTAAAAAAAAAACAGACCTCAACTGAGACGAAATTATAGCAGTACTACATTTAAGCACAGAACAAAGCTTAGTATGACTACATGGCAAGTGTAGAACAACTACAATTCTCAGTTTATAAAAAAATCTGTGGGTAAGTTAGTTCTTCATGCCTCATAAAACAAGACTTATTTTTGTGATGTAAATTGACTTAGTCTATGTTACGCAGACTCTATTACTTACCTATGAGCCAATTATAACTGAGACCACTCTTGCAGAATAGGATCGTGTCACTTCACAAAACTGGGCCCCCTGTAAGAAAGTTCTCTTAGCTCCCTTTCAGCGTGGAAGGAGTGAATTGTAATGCTAACATGCACACTGACTCAAGAGTGCGAAGAGCTCTTACCCAAGACCAATGAGCAAAAGACTCAAGGTATCAATCAGTTCACTGTACATACTGATCCTTAGTTCATCAGCTCCTATTGTCCTAATAGAACGAGGACAAACAACAGTCACCTTCAGAATGTGGTACGTAGGGAAATGAAAGTCAGGTTTGCATTAAATTATAGTTATTAGAGCTGCAGAGAGATCTAACACAAAAATGGATGGCCAAATGCATAGTCTATATTCACACAGCTGTTGCTTGATTGGTAATTTAAGGAGTCCTGGTGGTGGATGAGATCACCAGCAAAGAACTTTAAATTTCAGGACAACACACAGGCAAAGCAGTTAAATATCACAGTATTGTGATGACTCCAGTGATATCAAAGGCACAATGTGTGCACTGATCTGCTTTTTTGGCGTCAGACAGGCACAATTTGTGAAAGACATAATCATCACCCATCTTGCCAGATGAGCCTGAGATGATGGCAGCAGTGTCCAGAATGCTGAAAGGTGCTATAAGCACAACAGTGATACGCCTTCCCACTAATGAGGAACCATGCCTGGCTGGAGAGGCAGTAGATAGAACAGTATGTCCCTGTGATGTTCTATGTCCCCTGGCAGTTTTCCCACACTTGCAGTATGACCCTCCAACCATCAGCGCACGGATCATTGATCTCACGAACTCACATTTGTGATCCTCTGCAGAATTGTCGTTGAGAATGTACAGCCCAGAGAACTTACTGGCAGAAAATCACTCTTGGGTGATCTTCAAAATTCAGAAATGGCCATTCAGATACAAAACATACATGTTGACAAGTGATTCCAACAATATACTAATTCAGATCTAGAATTAAATCCAGATCCTGACAGAGTTACAGCAGCAATGGCACATAGTGCATTCGATGTTATAATAGAAAAATTGTGTTTTGCTCCATATGACTTGGCGTACTCAAGAGAGATATTTTACAATAAGCTACAGTTTTACGGTATTGTAAAGATAATCTGACAATTACAGGTCAAAGTATACTTGCTTATCGCTTTAAATGAAACTAAAAGCAGTCAAATTCATACACATACGGGGGAAAGATTCATCATGTATTACTACAGCTCTGGAGAAAACAAGCTAGGCTGGGCATACGCAGAAATTATGTCTAGACTGGAGATCTTACCAGAAGATGCAGTGTATGTTCTCATCCAAAGCCTTCTCCTGCAGAGCACATACTCCTTAGACTTGTGTTTTTGTTCTTGAAGAACCCAAGCTCAAGCAATTTTGAGATACTTTGCACTGCTACTTACTTGTTTTGCACTTCTGATGTTTGTTTGCAGGCAGCTGGGATGCCTGTTTTTCTAAGGTTATTTAAATTCTTCTTTATTTGTTAACAAATTATGTTGGTTGCACAACACATTGGCATGTGAACACTTCAGAAAAAGGGAGGGGCACAACTCAGCCTCAGTGGAATTAGGAACAAGATCCAATGACTTCAGCAGAGTTACACAAAGGGTAGCTCTATTGTTTCACTGGGAGTTGTGGTTAATTAAAGTAGTATTTCCCGTCAGTTTTCTACATGCAGGACTCTCTTCAAAGGTTGCATTACCTTCAAGATCACTGTGTGGGCTTCCATTTCAGACAATGAATAACAAAAGCCTAGTGGCAGATTTTCATAAAGTCTGGGCATATACTATTGTACTAAAAGCATGAAAAAAGGCACACAGTAATGTGCAGTTACATATATCTATACAACAAACATATAGTGATGCTGAAGCTGTGATGTTACTGATGGAATTAAATTGATGTTTTTTTAGACATTTTAACTGCACTTTTGTTTTATCTTCCACCGTAAAAAACAGATAACTAACTTGCTACAAATCAGTTATCTTCAAAACTTTAAAAAAGCCTGTAAACTTTCTGTATAGATCAAGTATTAGCCACATTTTCACACACAGTTACTCAATATGTACACGCTATTGTAATAATTGCTCAAACAGTTGCATATGCATTTGGAATACCTCTCTATGTCAAATCTTTTTGAAAACCCTGGGCCTCCTATATTTACTTTACAGATCTCATCAAACAAAATCCTTCCTTATAATCCAGAGAAACCTCCTAACCTCTTTTTGTAAAATGTCAGTTGCATAATGTAAAAATTGCAGAAATTCAGCGCATCGATAAACTGAAGGTTATTTACATTGTATTTTGTCTGCACTAGTAGAAATACAAACCTATTCATGCTAACACTAAAGCAGTAAACACTAAGATTTTAAAGGACACTGAGGTCTTTGAATTGCCTCCCTGTTTGTTTATCTGTTGAGTCCCAGTATTGGAGAACGATTTTTCCCCCTTCAAGTCTGTGGCAATTTAAATAATAAAACAGAGGTTATGTAAGTGCAGAGAATTATGGAAAAAATGTAAGTGGAAAGTACATCTTTTTAAAATGCACTTGAATAACTCAAATGCAGCTGAACTGACATTATTCAGACTTTCCAGTCTTATTCAATACTGGATTGAAACCAAGCACAAGAAATTTCAGGCCCAAAGGAAATTTTTAAGGAAATTGTAAGTACCTATATTTCTAGTTTACAATGTCTGTTGTCTGGGAAAGCTCTACCACCTAAAGAAAGACTAAACTATCTTCTCATGGGATCAAACAAAAGGCATGTGAACTAATTAAGGGGACGGACGTTTGGATCAGCTTGCAAACGTAAGGACTGATTCAGCCCTAAAGAGCACCCAAACCAGAAACCTGGATTCAAGTATCTGTGGTCTTCTAGTGAAATATGGATGCAGATTCAGATCCAAATTTTACACTGAAAGTTCATTTCTAACCTGTGCAGACACAAGCTCTAGGCCCAGCTCTGCGTTCCTTCCACACCCAGAATTGGAGTTCTGCCTAAATAAGGAATGCAAGAGAGAAATGAATTTCTAACCTTTATGGCAGGTCTTGTTTGGTGATGTATGTGCCTGTGAACCTGCCAAAACTCAAATGTGTGACATGGTATGCAGTCTAATTCCAAAACTGATAGATTTCAAAAGATTACTCTTGTAGGACACTGAAAATAAGGTCGAAGTATTTTCATAAGCATAAGTAACTATTTCTAACTCTAGCATACCTGGATATATTCTGATTCTTCTCTTATAAACAATGTTCTTCAGTGGAAAAGTGAAGATCCCAGATTTGTATAAAAAATGAGTAACAAAGAGAATAAATAATATATTTCCAAACTGAGGGACATTCAAAAGTATGGCTAGATGAAAAACCGTTTTAAAAAAAAAAAATTCACAGAGGGAAAACAATAAACAAAACAAACAAACAAATAATAGAATAAGGCTTCTCGGCATAACATTGCGTGTCCATTATCCTCCAAAATCACAGGGTAGCATTATGCATACAGATGCATACAGTAAAATTTTTCCATCACTCCAAAGAGACACAAACCTCACGCTGGCTTTTGACAAGATAAATGCAATTATGTTTCCTTCAGCTACCCAGACAGCAGTATTTCAAAATTTGCAGGGAGAAAGACCTTCCAAATGCATGAATAACAAAGAACTGTGGAAACAAATCTCTTTATGTGTAGATCTCGGCCTTTTTTAAATTTTCCCAGATTTTTCAGTCAAGTTTATATGAGAAATGCCCACCAATGTTGGTTACAGATGCTGCATTTTATGATACGTCTATGACAAAAATGAAATCCCAGTGCAGACACAATTCCATCGGCATTTTTGTTAGTTTAAATTAATTTGGTCAAAAATCAGCATAAATTCTACAAGAAAAATCTCTTTTTGCAAATAAGATACAATAAATTGTATCCACATCTGGAGAGTTTCTGACACAATTATTACATGTGCCAACCTCTTCTGCTATAGCTGTGGCCTTCCTGCTTGTTTTTCTCGTTATTCTACCCCAAACAGTATGCAAAACTGTAGGATAAAGATGCCCTTCTGTGGTCAGAAGAGTGAAAAGGTAATTCATGTTGCATTTTGTTCAGACAAATATTTTCATAATAGTTGAGAAAAGAATATATTGAATAGAGTATCCTGTGGCAACTACTCTCAGAAAAAGAAATACTAGCTAAACTCAAGGGCTTTGCCTGCTTTAAGGCTACGCAAGATTAAATCAAAATATTTCCTATATACATTCCCTCTTTTCATCAGCATGTCAATTGTAGTAAGTAAGAATGTGCTATTAATTCTCAGCATCAAAATCTGGGATAATTTTATATAGTCAAATGTTTCCTTACTTTCACAGAAACAACTATTGCTGGAAATATTTTCCAAAGCATGTTGCAAGTGGAGCTAAGTAAATCAGCTAGCATACTGCACACTTGTCAAGGAAAAAGTTTCTAAAAATGAGTCAGGATCTAATAAAAAATGTCTCTGAGGTACGTAACTCATGCCCATAATAGAATATTTTTCAATTTTCAACCCTGTATAGAGAATTTAAAAACGCTAACAGATGTATGAGACAAAAAAAGCAAAATTCTCCCTTATTCTCTCCTGTGAGCACATATAACACACATAGAAACCAATGAGACGCTCTAAAACATGAATACTGCTTTTACATTTTCCACTAGAAAGACAATTTGCTTGCAGTTCCTTCTCCCTTTAAATTGTTTCTGTGGCAACACATCTGGTGCTATAATTCTGGGCCAGAACATTAACTATCCTGAAAGAAGAAAGTTATGTCGTTGTTCTGGTCTGCAAGAATGTGAAGCAGAGAGAGATCTGCAAATACATGTAATCAGATAATCCTTTTCGCCTTCATAGGCGCACAGAATACTAGCTACTGATACTTATGCATAGCTTAAAATTAGAAGTTTAAAAATGTTTCTACAATGGTTAGAGAAAACTCTTGTCGTGAGCCAGCTTTTTTTAAACAAAATGACAAGTGCTTTGTTACCACTGTTCCTACCATATGAAATAAGTGAGGAAAGTATTCAGCTAAGAGGAACAAGTTCATTCCCTAATCATAAATGTAAGTCTTCCTATGTAATGGAGAAAGATTGATACTGATTTCTTATCATCTCGCCGGTTCTGTGTAAACATTACCGTATTATCACCAGATATCTCACAAATGAGATATGTCAGGAGCACATAAGGCCAAAACGTCTGAAATGTCTGTTAAATTCAGGTGCCCCTACTATTAGTTACCCATACTGAAACATGCAGCCCACAGCGCTCTCATCTGTTGAGGACCAATAGATTTTACTGGCCTTACTTGAAATTATAGGAACATATTGCCGCTTAATGCAAGTCTTGGACATCCCTGCTTGAGCATGCCAGCATTCTCAGAATTTGTAGTTTGAACAATTCAGTTGTAGAGAAAGGACAGAAAAGCAAGAATAGAAGCTTACAGCCCCAATTCAGTTTGCTAAGTCAACAAGTGAACAGTTTTTTTAATCACTAATAATCCAGAAAAGTCAGTCTGAAATCTTAAAGTCATACTATATGACTATAATCCAAAGCAAGTTATTACAGGTATTTTACAGTGCAACTGAGATTGACACATCAAGATATAAACTCTGCCATGGATCTTAATTCATGATACAAGGGCCAGAGCAATTTGCAAGGGCTACTGCATTCACTTAACTCAGCCTGGAGTAGCAAGAGTTAAAAAAATAATGAAAGCAGATTTTTGCTACTCCATCAAGCAGAGCAGGGATGAATTAATGGAAAGAACATATCTGATGAATAACAAAATATCACTGACACAGTTACTTTTCCAATAATAATTGCATTTTAAGTTCCCCCTGAAAC